AGACTCCCTCCCCCCTCTCTTGGAAGATCTATCTATCATATTTAGGCTAGGAAACGATGGCTGACCATTTCTGGGGCGCCCCCAAGGAGCAAATTCGTGAGTTTTTACTATGCACAGCAGATTGCTGGCTGGGGATTATTTATTTTTAAATATTTTAATGACTTTTTTATATGCAGTCGTAGGCCAACACCCTCGCGATAATACCGCTGTCGTTTGTCCCCTGTTCCCCTGTACCCCTGTCTGGGTTATGCAAGTCCTCTATTTCTATTCTCTACCCCCCTCTCTGGAAGGGGGGGGCAAAAGACTTTCGAAAGTGGCGGCTGGAAAGACCAGGCGGCTGCAGCTGCTCTGTCGGATTTCGGTTGGATGCAGGCACCGAGGAGACCGAGACAGTTGAGTCGGTTACTCGGTTACTCGGTTGCTAGCAGCTCCACATGACACAATTTGTTAACTAGATTATTATGTAAGGTCTCTCACTCTCTCTCTCTCTCTCTCTCTCTCTCTCTCTCTCTCTCTCTCTCTCTCTCTCTGTCTGATCAAACAACATGCAAGCAGCCGCCTGAATGCATATGCAAAAATAACAATTAGCCATCATTTTGATGCCGGTAACAAGAGTTTGGCTGACTCCACGCTCGAATCTCCACTCCAATTGCAGACAGGCGGAGATGATAATTAAATCTCTTGCGTTTGATGGGTTGCCGGCCGAAATTGAGTTGACATTTTGTGTGAGCCTTGGCTAATTGATGGCCATTCACTTTGATAGAGTTGTGGGGCATAGAAATATATGACTTTAATAATTAGAAACGCAATGGATAGCCAGTAATATCATTACAAGGAGCTTCATTCTGTCTTCTTCGTGGATTGATGGATTTATACACAGTGATTTGCAGTTATTTGCGTGCAAAATTTAGAAATTCTTCTTTCCGCCTATTACATTTGTATATTTTCAAACAAATATATATATATATATATATATTCCAAAAATACCGGCTATAATTAAGGTAAAATATACTAGTATGATAGACATTCGATAGACATTCATTAGACACAAATGCGGAAGCTGTTTAGTTCTTACTAGAAATAACCCTAATTTAAATTGTTTTTTTTCCACACTTAATGGATCATTAATTATATGAAAAACAAAAGCCGAACAACACACCTTCGAACATTCATTTCAATTTCGTGCAGACAAAAGTCATAAATAAATATACTCGTACAGCGTATCGACAAAAATCTTGACCAAATTGATCGACAGTTCTTGGCTTATAATCTTTGATATTAAAAGGCAATTCATTTTGGTTTTTCTGCCGAGTGTGTGAGAAGAATTGCAACTCCCAGACAGCCATGGACAGGCGGTATGATTAATGGGGCAACGCCATTTGAATGTGCCCCATCTGGGGATGGGTCTGGTCTCTTGCTCCCCCTCTCTAATGGCCCGGCAATTGTGGCAATCGCTGTAATTAGCCATCAAGTATCTGTTGTGCAATAGTCCCCGTGTCGTAATTAGTTCATTTGCACAATGTTTGCACTGTCTGAAGCTCCGAAAAATGTGTCAAGTTCATTGTGGAGCACCAGTGGAACGCCGGTGGAGCGGAGAGTTTCACGTTTGCTCAGGAAACTTGCTAATCTTAACTGTCGGTTGTTTTTATGGGTTTTCCTCAGAGTTGTTTGGCCAGCTTGACATTATTTTTCCTCGTTCGCCAACCGAAACGAGTTGTGCGTTTACGCACGTTTTGTGCCATGAATGAATGAGTAAATGAATGAATGAAAATGAAAATAGCTGCGGGCAATTCAATGAGTTGGACAAATGCGCGGCACACGTCGAGCGGCTGGGGCTGGCGTCTTGGCAAATGTCATGTGCGTCGTTAATTTGATCTTAACCAATATCTGGTTTATCCTTCACATTTGGTGGCTCTGCAAGAAATGCTCTACGGAATCCGGCTACGAAAATTACACATTTTAGAGGCAATCCAGCAAAACACTTTGCCTAATGCATTCACATGAGGCACCACCACAGGGCACTGGCACTCCATCATACTCCAACTCCAACTCCGACTCAGACTCCGACTACAAGTGTGGCCTTGTCAATGCCGTTTCAGAACCATACAAATAATAATAAAACCCGCGCATATCTGGTGCAGACAGCGGCCCGAAACAATTGCGATTGTCTTGCGGCTCTGTGGCTGTGGCTGTGGCAGTTGCAGTTGCAGTGGCACTTGCAGTTGCAGTCTGAAATTTTCTCACACGAGGGATTGAGTCAGGCCCCGCAGAGTGTGTGAGAAATGCCACGATCCCCACCCATCCAACCCAGGCAATTTGTGTTACGATTCCAATTTAATTCTGAACAGAGCCCAGAGTCCCAGAGTTGAAAAGTTTATGAACATTTTTGCCAGGGCTTAAGACGGCGCTATTTCAGATTTGAAAGTCCAATTAACAAGCAACTTAAACAACTGAATTAAGTTAATTAAATGATCAACTCTATGAGTATTCCCCCGTACTCACACTCACACTCACACTCATACTCATACTCGTATTTGGTTTACTTTTACTTTCGTCAGTTTACGTGGCTCTGCTTTGGCCCGCTGATCAATTAGTGTGTGACCTTGACTCGGCCGAAATCCAAAAATATTGCCCAGCACTTTGATGCTTAATTATCCGTAAGGTGTGTGGTGTGAGGACGGGGTGAATTTAAGTATAATTTTCAGCCCCAAGTTTGTTTCGGCGGCACTGGGGATCCAAAAACTGATTGTTGTGTCTGGGAAAACTATGGAAATGATTTGATTTGAAAATTGTTTCTATAACTTAATGTAAGCAGGCAGGTTGCGCTTTGATTGATGAACTTGGATTAACAAATGCTTATAGTCTTATAAGCATTCCTATCCAATTAGCTGAGCGCATCATAAGCTCCCATTTACGCCTGTGTGTGGCCAATTATCATATGCCACTGAGCTTCGTGGGAAGCTTATCCGATTGGCTGCGATCTTTACAAGTATATTGACATGTTGGGCTCATAATTCTCGAAGTCAACATCTCCGACAGCCCCAGAAGCGGCAATCAAAAGCAAGCCAAGCAATTTGTCGAGTGCCGCGCAACGAATCAGACAAAGCACGTTTAATTGTAATAGCAATAGAATTTGCATTCGAATAGAACAGACACAACAGATGTATTGCCGGTAAGTACTATACATACATAAACCCGTAGTTATAGCTGAGCATGAATCACTTGAGAGTCGTTAATTGCGAACAGATCGAAATGCATTTCGTGTAAACTGTTAAAGAGCATAAAAGTGAAGCACAGTCGAAGGTCTCTGGCGGTCAGCTTCAGCTACGTCAGTACTACTCGGATTTGGAGTCAGATTCAGATTCGATCTGCCCAGCTGTTTAACATTTTCCCACAGCCCGCGAACGCGTTTGGGCGTTTACTACCAGAACTACGAGTACTCGAGTACCACCAGTGGATTGTGCTGGCTGTTTGCTTTCTGGTTTAGTCAGCTTTTCAGTTCGTTCCGTTTTTTATGGCTAACGGCGCCGCCATGACATTAAGTTGCTAGCCATAAACGCGATCGATTTCAATATTTCATATCCTGTAGCCAGAATTCTGATGGTTCCGCAAACGCCAATGGAAACGTGCAACGCCCACTGGCTTCTGAGCTGACTTTTCCAACAAATTTCAGTGGCACTTGGCCTTTGCAACCGCAGCCTGGGGGTCGGTCTATGCATGACTCGGATTATGGGCTACTGCCAGAGATGACTGCGTGATATTATCTGAGACTCAGAAACAGATACTCTGAAGAATATTCTTGGAAGTATCAATCAGGTATCGTTCCGCGATTGGTTCTCACGCCTGCATATTTAATTAATGCAATGAGCAACTCAATCAAAATCTAATATGTAATTAAAACATCAGCGAGGCGGACTACCAAAAACAATTAAATCAATTTAATACACGCTTTAGTGCACTTTTTATGGTTCTCGGTGGTCCACATTATAATTTACATGTAAAGCAATCGCCTGAAGGGCAACCACATCCGTAAGATACATACATATCTGTATGACGAAAATGAATGCATTTGAAAAGAAAAACATCTACAAGAAGTAGAAGAAATAGTGGGATATGTATACAAGGCTACCAAAGTATCTGAAGATACAAAATAGCCTGAAAAACAGCGAAGAACATACAACTAATAGGAAATTCCTAATAGGAAAAACTTATCTACAGCCACAAAAAATCTGTACGAAGAGCTAGAAAATCGATCATCATTAAAGTCTCTTAAAGTAGTATCTGTATTTTTTTAAAAATGTGTCGTAAAGCTCCAAAATCAACCATTCCATTCTATATTCCACGCATCGCCTAAAAGCAGACTTCACTTTTTTTGCATAAAAATATTGTATTTTCGAGAGCGTTGCCTGCTTCTGGGGACACCATGATTTTAATTAAAAAACGAAAACGATTCCGATAATATTTTGGGCGACCCCTTTCGGGTCTTTGAATACCATAATCATATAACATTTATTTATTCAGGAAACTTGGCAATATAATATATCATTCATTTTTGTTTTTCTTTGTTGTTTTTTTGTTTGTTTTCAATAAATATTTTGTAATATATAGGTTTTTGCTTAATATCTAACAACATTTTGTTGGTTATTATAATTGAATGTATTTCGAATACAAAAAAATTCATAGATAATATTCATATAACTAATATGGAAATACTTTGTAAGTGTTCATATGGGATGGGGGAAAGAGAGACACAATCGCTAAGGAGAGGTGTTTTGGAGTTGTGTAATGTGTGTTTGTGTGTGTGTGTGTGTGTTTGTTTGTGTAAATGTCGAGACATTTGTTAAAAATACATTATAATCATAATTACTAATTCTCAAACTAAATCAATAGACAATACTTGGCATTTGAACGTGTTCCACAAATCTGTGATAATGCAAATTCTGTTAATTTTTCTGCTTTTATTTTACTTTGGCTGCTTTTGGTTTTTCCATTTTTGTTTTTTTTTTAGGGTGGAGATGGGGTTTACTTTTCAGTTTTATTTTGGGGGGTTCTGCTCTTCAGATCGCTTCAGTAGGGTACATAGGAGCCGGCATTGCGTTTGCGGCCCATGTTGCAGATCTTAAAGTGGCACGGCGACATGTCTAAGGAAATCACAAATACATACAAATGTTAGTTAGAATGAAATAGATTTTGAATTGCTTCATGCAACACTTACATTGTTTACGAACTAATTTTTGGGACCAAATAATAAACATGAAAATAAAAATGTTTCGAATCAAAAAATTAGTCAATCATGCCACATTGAAGGTAGTATTTATATATATATCTTAATAAATATAGATTATAGATCGTTTACTTACATTGCACATTCTTTTTGGTGTTGTGCTCCTTGAGAGAAGGACTGGACACCACCTTCTTGGAAGGCATTTCAGTTAAGTCGTTGACCAGGTTGTAGCGCAACTCCTCGCCACCGCCATTCTCGCTGAGCTTGTGCAGACGCGCCAGGAGACGGGAACTGGTGACCACTTCTCGCTCATTGCTATCCTGTGGCACGCCAAGGTCCTCGTAGTCAGCGGTCAGCAGCAGATCCCTCAGCGAAGGCCATTTCCTGGCAAACGAATGCAGTCGTTGCTGTTTCTGTTCCTGCTGTTGCTGGTGCTGATACTTCTAGAAGTCAAAGGGGAGCAAGCAGGTGGTTGAGTCTCCATGTAGATGCCTCAATAAACCCATCTATCACTCACCAGTTGCTCGCCATAATAGGTGTTGTCCTCATTACCCGCTCCAAGCAGTTCGCTGAACAACAACTGCGTTGGCAGCCCAGTACGTGGCATGGCATATCCTGGCCCGGTAGCGACTGACAGCAACACAATGGCAATGCCCCACTGGACGATTGAGCAGCCGCACGTTGTGGACATCATGTACTGCGGAATTGAAAGGCCACAAAAGTGTGAATATATTGTGTTGAAAGTGCAAACAACAATTTGGCTAGAACAATTAAGCACCTCCCTCAAGCCAACCCTCGCCCATTGAGTGCTTACGCAAAAGGGTTTCCCATTACAAACAACACAAAGTTTTCAAAATATGCGCAAATGTTTCGAGGGGTTTCGAGGGGTTTCGTCGGCCCTCACAAGGTGTTGGCTTCACTTTAAAACAGTCACGTTGCATTTTTTCCCATTCTCAATGAAATCTAGGACACGCACCAGTTGAAAGTTTTGGCTTTCGCAAAAGTCTCCCCCTTTCCATTTCGATCTATAAATGGAAAAGGCTTCTTTGATGCCTGCTCTTGAAATCAGGTCACATTGCAACATCATCATTTGATATGCCACGGACTATACCCCTCTCTCAGTGACTTTGTGTGTCTCTCTCTCCCTGTGAGACATCCCTTAATTGACATTTATGAAATATTAATGCCTAATTAAGCTCAAGCTCTGACGCCACAAGCAGCCAGAATGTTAAAGGTGAGCGGTGAGTGGGTTAATGCACGTGGGTGGGTTGGCTTTTGAGTGTTAAAAATTACAAGTCATTTAGGGTGTTCAGTGCTTAGGGGTTGGCTCATTTAGAGGCAGCAGTGAGAAACGGCGGAAAGTTCAATTGTGATTGATGGAGTTTTTTAAAAGAAATGAAACTACTTAAAGAAGATGCAGTGAAACGGTTGCGGATAAACGAATGAAACTATGTGGGATAATGGGGGAAACTATTGGTTACAAATGAGCAAAACTAAACCTCGAAAGAAATGAGAGAACTCTTTCCAACTCAACTCATTCATACTTTTTCTTCCGTTCCTCCCCAATCAATCCCCAATTTCGTTCTAGAACTCACGACTTTCCTTATAAGTCTTTTTGATGTCATACAACATACATACATATTTCATCTACGAATTGAACTTATCAAAAATCCCAAAAATACTTTTCGTCTTTAATTTTTGTCGTTGCCGACTGAGCTAGATCTGACCGCTTCTCCTTCATGGCCCTCTCCCTGAATCGTCGTCCTCCTCCTGAATCGAATCTCAAGTGCACGGCGATAATCTTTTGCCAAGCAATGTCATCCGTTCCGTGACTTACACGCTCTGCGATTGCTTCCAGTGATGATTGATGATTGATGGGGGCAGCGTAATCGCAGCAAACGCATTTTAATGGCACAATGAACATTAAAATGTTTGCGTTTTCGGCGTTGGACGTTCGGCGTTCGAGTGGTGTCGGTAATGAGCTGATAATGCATTGGGTGTCGTGGCTAATTCATGGCGATCCCCAGCCAAGATTCATCTCTATATCATTTATTATTAGAGTCAAGGCCAGGCGCGTACAAGTTTCATTGAACTCTCGAGCGGTGCAAGTGCCACGCCCAGTCGTTAAACAGTCCACCATAAAAACTATGCAGGGAAGAAGGTGAAATGGCGATGGGAACGGGAATGGGGACGGATGGAATGCCGAATTTATTTGACAGCTGCCCCAGGTTCGTGAGTGTTCGATTTCGATGGTTATTAAAAAGCTGAAACCTAACAATGATCAATAAGCGATAAGATGATGACAAGTTAGGGCCCAATTATGCTATTATAAATGCGACAACAGGCAGAAACTAGTTTTATTTAGCTATTCAGAGAATGAGAACAATTTCCGAGCAATGTTCTATACGAAGCGCCGCGGGTTTCGCTATACTGAGAGGATGAATTTCATAAAATGTACTTAAGATTTATTTCATGAATAAGCTGAAGATTAAACTACGAGAATGTAAAAAACAAATCACCAACAGAATTCGCATCATAACTAGGCTGGGGGGTCTTTGCTGCTGTGACCCAAAATCGTATCATCAAGTGGGGAATATATAATAATAAAATCGTATAAATGGGTTTCGTTCTTTTATTTGTCCCACAATAAAGTGCGTCATCAGGCACGTCATAAAATATCGGACCACAACCAACCAACACACACAGAGAGAGCAGAGCTTTCAGTACTTTCTTATCAACGACAATAAGTTCACATCTACGATTGACACGCCCTCTTTTTTCTGTTGCTTCTTGTTCTGCTTCTGCTCCGGGCTTCGTGTAAACAAAAGCTATCTGGATCTGAACCTTAGTTGGAATCCCCCCAACACCACTCAACCGTTGCATCGTCAAATCAAATAAAAACTACGCATTTCATAAATGATAGATTCACGAGACTTTCCATTGAACATCTACATACATATCTCTGCCACCGCACTATGGTCCGAACGACCACTTTTGTTGGCCAAAATTAATAACTCCCGAACGGAACAAGATTTTTTCATTTAGTTTTTTGTATTGGATACATATAATCAATAAGAAATGGATTTAAGAAAAAAAATGGGTGTGGCACCGCCCCTTTTTTTAATAATGCATATTTAAATTTTTAGTTATAGTGAAAAAAAGTATTAAGCATATTTTATTTAAGAAAACGGCGTTGAACGACTAAAAAAAATTTTGATTTAAATAAAAATAAAATCGTTTAAAGGTTTCCGTAAATTATTGCCGAAATCCTTGTCTAGAAGCAAGGTTAACGCCTCGTTAAGTGAGATATGTGCCGGCTTTCCGACTGGGTCCTGTACAGCCTTACGAACTTAGTTAGCATATTTGGACATAAAGATAAATGTATTATAACAAAGGCTTGTGGCCAATCCACATATTTTCGTTCAAACATCTTTGAATTTTACCGGCATTTGTTCCGGTATGTTGCCAAACGGTAACAAATTTTCTTGCTGGTATCTTCAAAAGCTTTATTAATTTCATATGATATGTCGCCTTAAGATCCGTTTTCAAATAATTGATAATTTTACCCTTCTCTGAATTCCATTCGGCAAACAAATATGCATTTTCGAATTTGAGGTTATGCTCTATTAATGCAAATTCCAAGAATTGTGGTAAAAAGTGGCATTTCTAACTATATACATTTCAAAAAGAATTTATTAATCTACGACACAGAAAAGGTTTCAGGGTGGGACTAGGTAGGACTCACTTTGTACACCTTTTCAAAAATTAGTTTTCATTACAAGTTGGCACATGTTGAAGGCCTCACTTTAACCTTCAATTACGAAGACATCAGAACTACTAGAGACAGTTAAAAACTCAAAACACGTAGTAAGAACCCGACAGATTAAGATTCATCAAAAAAATTTAATCACGTCTTGGCGTTTTTCAATTTTTGAGATATCTAAAGTGGTTATTAATTTGCCACTTTTTCCCTTCACGTGCTTTACTATAAAAACAGTTGGGTTGCACAGCTGATTTTGCGAATGTGGCGCCATCTATGGAAATTTCTGGTAAGCAGATTTAATGGTCGATCTTTTTCTAATGCAGAGCGATCAAAACCAGGTTTCAGTTTTGACTTTGAAAAATTAGGTTTTGGCCAACAAAAGTGGTCGTTCGGACCATAGTGCACCGTTCCTGCGCTGATAAGCCGACTACAATAATTTCTTTGGGGCATAAAAGAATTTTAATGGAAATAATGTTAATCGAAAATCCCGCAACGAAATGACATTGTTGAAATGTTTGCTGATAATTGAGTGTCGTAAAAAAATATAAATAAATATATGAATGTTCGTTATCAATAGACGAAAAGTACATTTTCTTGGCGCCAGTAGAAGAATGGAACTTAATAGATCGCTATTGCATATTTGAGAATTCAAAGAGGCCGCGATTGGACCAATATAGAACGGCTTTAAACTAATACTAAAAATGTATTTGAATTGAAAGGAAAGTTCCCCCAGGTCATTATTTTTACACTGAGAGAAAAATGGCATAGTAAAAAGCAACAAACCCATATTTAAATTAAATATACGGGTCTTAGATTCAAACATAGTGAAATTAAATCTAGAATTCACTTTGATTGAAATATAAATGTATCTACTAGTTTTTTTAACCATATTTAATCAAAATATCAAACAAGAAATATTTATTTTAAATATTAAATCTATTCATTTTAAAATATATTGCGATCAGAAATTTGCGTATTAATATATATATGTATGTATATACATATATACATATATCAAGACTTACCTCTTAAAAATTCAATTCCTTTTCAAGTAATTTAAGTTCTTTTAAAGAAATTTTCAAATCCTTATTTCTCAAGGTTATTTCTTCTCTTTTCAGCACTTTTCACTGTAACTGTACTTTTTTACTGTAAATGTACTTTTTTACTAAGTACTGTGGTACTTTTTTGTCTATTGAAATTTATGAAATTTCCAAAAAAAATATATAAAATAATTCAGATTGAAAGTGTTCTTTTTTTCTTGCTCCGCTTTGGGAATCTTGAGCGTTAGGTGTGACAATGCAGAATAAACGCAAATCCGTTGAGAGCACTTGTTTATATAGGCGCTTGACCGACGCACAAAAAGGGTAAGGCAACAGGTAAAAATACTCGTAGACCTGGCTAACAACGCGGTAACACGACCACAACAACACCATACAGCCGTCGGAAACCCGACGACACTTCGGATGCTACAAAAGTGTATTAGGGGTTTTGGGAGGAGGCGTAGGTAGGTTCCAATGTTCTTGTGGGCGTTTAGTTATTCCAACCAAACAGAGGTTCGGTTTTGTGGGGGTGTGAATGGGTGAATGGGAGCACTTGAAAAGTTCTTATAATTATACTTTTGTTCGCCGAAATGTGAGAGTAATCAAATGGCGCTCGCGACGTTCTTCTTTACGGTGCGTTCGAAAACTAAACACATCGGATCAGATCAGATCGGATCGAATCGGATCGATCTCGTAGTACTACTGTTCGTGAGGCTCTCTCGGCTCTGGCCTCAACAGAAACTGAATTATGTTGGTTCTAGTCGCGGTACTCCGGACTGCGCGATTGTGTACCATGCCACGCTTTTGACAAATCGTCCGATAAAGCCAAGATTTATGATCAAGCCATATAGATTTAAACAACCGAAAAATTAGACTGCGCTACAGCGTAGAATGTAAGGTATATTAGTTTGTTCAAGCTCTGTATATCAAGAGGTTAAATCTCATTTGTCCCACTCGCTGATCACGCTCTGCCTTGGAGCTTGCGTTTACTCCCTCGCTTGGTTCATTGACTCGATTCCGGCGGCAGTTTGCCAAGGATCTTGAGTCAAGGCTTTGGACACAATCTACAAACTGTACGATAGTAGGCGTATATTCGTTGAATTCCCAGAAGATCAATGCCCCCATCACTTTCAATTATAGGTCATTAAACCCGCAACGATTTTGCTAGAACATTTCAAATTTAATTGGGTCAATGTCGGTTCGCAGTTTTTTCCACTTAGCGGATGCTGAAATGTTTAGCGGATATTGCAAACTCATGAAATTTCGCCCTAAGAAGCTATGGAATCACATGATTATAGGTATTTTGTGTTCCATCTTCAGTAGGGGATCTCTGGCATATGTACTTTTAAATGATATCAACAAAAAGTGTTGACCAAACAATACGAACTAAAATAAATTCGCAGTTACGGAAATTCATCTAAAAATAGAGTGGAAATTTACACTTGTCCATCGCAGAGATAACCAAGCTGATCTTATCTTTTATGCTATAAGTCAGACCTCCGACCCTCTCTCTGCTCTGTGAGATTTTTTGGCAGAATAATGTGATGCAATATCTACCAGAGATTAAATCACACAGAAACGCAAAGTTAAAATAAAATGAATGGTGGGTGGCAGAATAATAAAAAATAAAACTTTTGCAAGTTTTGAGTACATCTTTTAACACCCAAAAAGGTTACTTCTAATACAAAGAATTTCCCCTAGTCATTTGCGTTTCTTCGTATTCCAGTAGACAGTAATTAATTTTGTCTAGAAATGTTCCCAAAAAATGCTGATTATTCCAATAAAATCTAGTATATTGACACGCCTAACCTTTTGTCTGATCCGAAAATATCGAAAGGTTGCTGGCTAATCTCTCGCCCACGCTTCATTTGTAGACAATGTGATTAAATTAATTTTTTTTGTTACATCACCCGGAATCGATGGGGGTGGAATAATCGGAATCATCACTTGTCTGACAGATATGATATACATAGATAAGCGTCTTACTTTGGAAGCATAGTATCGCTGATACAGTATCAAACGACAATCATATCAGTGCTAATTGACACTTATTAAAGAGCGGCAGACGGAACTGGCTTCTCATGCCGGAACCGAAGCAAGCACGTGCCGGACAATTATCAGCAGTTGAGACAATCACGTGAGGGTAAGGCTTCCACCATGCGTTCATAAATGTTTATTGACTCATTTGAAAGTGTAACTGTACAGGAACCCACATAAAAATGCATTTGATTGTGATTTATTGATACAGTCAACAGATTTAAATTTGATTTCACGCCTTTCCTGCCCAATGACTTACTACCACGCAATATGGGTTTCAAATATATTTATTGAATAGCCCGAAATTTCTTTAGGGCAGATTGGATATATATACATATGCACATTAAAAATATACCAGCCATACTTAGAAGGAATGAATCATGCTGAACGAGGCAGGATAGGAACATGGTCCGGTGGAGACTCTATTGGCGGAGGGCGAAACTGGCCTATCTAATGTATCCATTTAGAGACCTTTCCCAATCTATACCAGAAAATAGTATTTTGAATCATAGATGTGATTCTATTTGAAATAACAACTCGTCTCGAGGCATATTTCATCGATTCCGTCAATATTTTAAATTTCATTTTTACAGTTTTACCAAAGAACGGAGGGTATTGAGACATACATATGCACGTTGTTTTTAGTTTTCGCTATGTCAACTCGTGCTTCCTTTCACTCACTCACTCCTTTCACTGCTGTCACTCTTAAACAATGCCACTGTGGCGCGCAGCTCTAGTATCCTGTCGTGCACAGTGCATACCCTTGAGAAAAGGATATTATTGAATTGAGGAAATTTTTGTTATCTAGTCTCCTATGAATGAAACTACGTACGAAATTGTACAGTTAATGGTCCTCTTACAGGAACGGAATCAAGACACATATGCATATACATATGTATGTATGTAATATATAATGTATATAAATATAAATTTAAATCTGTAGGAAGGCATTATTTATTACATTTCAAAGCAGGTTGGAAAACAAAAATTTTGCATTACCTAAAGGAAACAGGAAGTACAAATGTCCATATCATAACTGATACCGGTTGACGAGCAAGAATGATGTATCATTCCAAACACACTTGCATTAATTCCGTCCATGTGAACGTTTTATGCTGTGACCTTTTTGGTTTAAAGCTTATTTTAGACACAATCAAATAAAAATAAGTACTTAAAATTAACCAATCTTGTAGGAACTTGATTCATCAATCGTATACAGTTATGTGTTTAGGGCTGACGGTCCTAGATAGCTAGTAATATTAAGCCGAATATCAAAATCGTGGAATATAATTTTCGATCATGGGACAGAGAGCGATTAACCCATTGTAGACCAATAGGCATTCAAATACAGTGGTTATTAAACATTTTTAAACTTGAAGAATTTAAGCGCAGTTAAGTTGAAAAATATCGTGATAGCTTTTATCGTAGGAAAACAGAAAGGATGGATTTATAAGAAAAATTTACAAACGGTATTATTTTCCCGATTTAACTCAAGCTGTTCACCTATTTAAAGAGAAGGGGGTTAAGTGGGCTAAGTTCGTTTTGTCATCGATATATTTTAAAAATTATACGGTATTTTCCGAGGGTCAGCGGGAATATTTTAACGATAAGTTCGCGGGGTCACACTGGAGGAGACGAAAAATATTTTTATTTTTCGAAATGTCGACGCTGCAACTGGAATTTTCGCAGGCCATGGCCGATTTCAAGAAGATGTTTCCCGACATCGATCGCGAGGTAATTGAGGCCATACTGCGGGCAAATCTGGGCGCCGTGGATCAGACAATAGATGCCCTATTGGCCATGTCCATAGATAATCAGGTAGGGGTCCGTGTGTGCGTTTGTTTGTGTATACTAACAGCAGCTACTATACTAACCTAACCGCATGTGACAGAACGAAAAACTGCGCAATGAACTGGATGCTAATGTCTCCCCACAGCAGAGTCTCATCAATCTCAACGATTCGGACAAAGACCTACGGCGCAATGTCCAGCTCGTTGACACCACGGATGGCATTGGGGACAGCGGTGCAGCCGCAGCAGCAGCCAGCGCTGGTGCTTTACTAACAACCGCCAGCGCTTCGCCGAATCATCCCAACACGGGTGCCTCGCCCAAGATGCGGCCACTGGGCACCTCGAATCGGATCAATAGCCAGAGCAGCACGCCCACAAAGAGGAGTCAGAGTAGCAGCACAGCCCGTCGCTGGAACCCACCCATTTTGGGTGTGCTTCCGCCAGGCTTTCTACGCATTGCACCTGCTGCTGGCCAGCAGGACTTTGAGCTACCCGACGAGCAGTTTGCCCTGATGCTGCAGAACGAAGAGTTTATGAATCAATTGCGCTGGAATCAAGACTTCATGAACGCCCTCGAGAAGGAGCAGACGGGAAAGACTAAGGGCGAAGATGATGCCCCGTTTCAGGAGCGTCTCAAGAACATGGGGAAGATGTCGCGCAAGAAATTCCTACAAATGGCACGCGTCTTCACCTGGCAGCGCAATAAAAAGGTAACCACCGCCAAGCAAATCGACTCCTTACCGTTGCGCGAGGAGCCCAGCGACGATGAGGACCACCACCATCATCAGCAGCAGCAACAACAGCAGTCGAGCCAACCGCAATCCCAGCAACAGCAGCAGCAGCAGGGCCAGTTGCAACTACGCAAGTGAAGCGCGTACGGGTCCAGCATTTTGTTATCTTATCTCAATGGCCATACCGTGACGATCACGTGCGCTTGTAATCTCCTTTAAAGTAATCTCTAAGCAAGAACGAAATCTCCTCCCAATCTCAAAAACAAGATGCGAAATAATTGTATTATTCTAGTTTTTAAACACCCCCACACATCATAACCAAAAGTGCAATTTTTACCCCTCGTAAACATCCCAGTGCAATATATCTTGTATTACAATATGATTTGTATAAAATTTTTTTTCAACTTTCGTTGTTGCCAAATTAGCAAAATTAAGTTTTATTGATAATTTGTAAAGAAGACAAGAACCGGGCGTTTCTTTAGCGCCCTAGTTTGCAGCACACAGTTGGACTGATTATTGAATGCGTTAATTAATTGAGCATCACACCAAGAATAGAAATCTCTGTAGAGCACCTTGCTTAGCCCAAAAACCTAGTCATTATAAAGAAACCCAAAAAAAACGTATTGTACAGTAATCGAAGCTAAATATTCATGTAAACGAAAACTCTTTCTCCCCTTTTAAATCAATGTGGTCCTGCGCTTAACTGGCTTCCACCCTATGCATGGCTATATTATATAAATATGTATCCCGACAAGTCGAGTCTCTCAAAACTATGCATTCGTGTCCAGACACCATATCAAATGCAGTTTTACCAGCCTACCCCACATGGATGACAAAACTTCAAGTAGCTCCAAAGCGGACCTATGGAAAATCTTTCAGTGAATATGCGTGCTATAAAGTAGCAAAACATTAATATAATTATAAAAGGCGGCTATTTGATTGTAATTGTATGTATAAATATTTGAATAACTACCTTGTATTACTATTCCAAGTATCAAATACAGATATTTCAAAATTTCAATTGAAGGTGTTTTTCCTCCCAAATGACTACCCATTCATATTTGAATTTATTTAATTTTTATTTTGTTTTTGCATTTCATTTTTAATTTTTTATAAACATAATACATTTATTAATAATTAAAAGATGCTCGAACCTGTTGAGTTACTTCACCCTCGACTTCAGGACTGACAAAACTTCTGTTCTGAAGTATCGCAGATCCTGAGCGGACGGCAAGTAAGGAAACAAGTTCGAAAAAAAATGGTTTTTCAATTACATTCATTTCACACGCTCATTATTACATTATGTTATTGTAACGGTTGGTTTTTTTTTTATTATATTCAAAAATGATTTGTATCTTTTATCATATATGTATATAATATATACGTTTGGGCTTAGGTTTTTAATTAGTTTCAATGTTGGTTGTTGGCTGTGTTTAGACTTTGATTTAAGGGCATATTGGTTACTACGCGAAGTTTATGTTTATGTTTATGTTTATGCAATGTTTATTATGAAATATTTATAAATTTACTTCGTTTTAATATTTCTTTTCATTTTGGGATTGACACGACCATTTCGTATGCATAAATATACTAGAATTTGTGGCTTCCTTTCTTTTTCTATGTTTCTGCCGGATGATATTTCTTCTGATCCGCAAAAAGGGTGCGGAAGTAGCTATCGTAGGTCAATGTATGTTCCGTCCCACTTCCGCCTTGGTATTGGCTCTCTGAGAGCGTGCCGGAGTGTATTTGTGTGTTTTGTATATATGTTGGGATGTAGCATGCATGTGTGTGTGCAGGTGTGTTTGTGTGTGTATGGAGGTGTTTACAATTTTGGATTGATTGATCGTATTAAACAATTAGTTGTAAATTTGTTTTAAACTAGTTACTAAATGGATCTCATTACTCTTCTGGTTGTTTGCAACATTTTGACATCATTTGCAGACAATATTTTTATAAAATATGTTCTTATACATGTTTACTTGTTGTTTCTCAATTTTATTTGCTTTTATCTGGATTCATCATTATGATCATCATCATCATCTATCAGGCTAGTACAAGTTAATATTTAGCTTAATTTGATTTTGAGTTGAATTGGTTTTCTTTTCTTACTTCTTTGTTTTTGCAATTGGTAGAAGAGCAACGACATGACATTAGGTATACGGCTCTATTTATAGATATTACTTGTTGTTTCTTTGTTGGTTTTTGCTTTTGTTTTTGCTTTGTTGTATATAAGACGTATTGTGTATAGAGTATAATCGAAAAGAATCAATAAATACGAATGTTTTAGTTTACGAATGTTTCATTTGTTGCATAATTTAAAAAACGGCTCAAAAAACGAACGACAAATATGTATATATATATATGTGTGTGTATAAGTATATTAAATAATTCCCCATATTGATTAATGGTTAATCAGCGAAAAATAGTACAATCATAATAGTAGTAAATAGTAATAATTACAAAAACTTTAAACAGTTATAAAACATTGTCAGCATATGTACGTTTTTTGCTCATTCTCTTGTATTGTATATATAGTAGATTGGTTATTTCAATTTTTTGTTTGTTTGTTTGACAATCTTTATATTGTGTTGTATTGTATAACTGCATATTGCATTCGGATCGAAAACGAAACAAGAACGAAAAAAAAAAAAATTGAAAATGTTTTTAACTTTACTCTTATACTTGTTCTCCTCTCCTTCCCTCCTCTCTTAACCGCTCTTCTCCTATACCCTTTTTTATTTTGTTTTTCCTTTTTTTTTTGTTTTGTTGGAAGTCTTATAGCAGAACACATAGGGACTTTTTCGGTTTCTTTTGTTTCTTTTCGGGTGACTTCTTATTGATCTGCCTAACCAAATCGTAGAAAATATCGTTCACATTCACTTTGGCTTTGGCTGAGGTCTCCATGAAGGCGCAATTGAACTGATTGGCCAGGCTCTTGCCCAGCTCCTTGCCGACGACCCGCTCCTCCTCGAGATCGCACTTGTTGCCCACCAGCACCATGGGCACATCGTCCGTATCCTTTACCCTCAGTATCTGCTCGCGCAGGTCCTGTAGATCATTGAACGTCGACTGCGCTGTTATCGAGTACACCAGCACGAATCCCTGGCCGTTCTTCATATACAGATCCCGCATGGCCGTGAACTGCTCCGTGCCAGCCGTGTCGAGGATCTCCAGCATGCACTGCTGCCCGTCCACCTCCACCTGCTTGCGGTAGCTGTCCTCGATGGTGGGGTCGTACTTCTCCACGAAAATGCACTGCACAAACTGCACTGTGAGGGCGGACTTGCCCACGCCGCCGCTGCCCAGAACCACAATTTTGTATTCACGCATTTTTCACTGTAGCTGGCTGTAGTTTGTGTAAGACCAAAAAGCAGGTAGGCGGTAGGTAATACTCGGGTTCAGGTGGGTTTCCAGTTACAAATTCCTCTTGGAGTTATTGAAGTTGCAAATGTTTAATTTTAAAACGCGGGGCGGCTCTCTCTCCTCTCTTACTCTCTTACTCACTTCTCACTCTCTCGTTCTCGGTCTTGGTCTCTCTCACAAAAATCACTAGTTTAGGCGTTGTTCGGCGATTGCTTTTCGGTTGCAGTTTTGTGGTTGTTCTTTTAGAACGTTTTTTTTTTTGTTTTTTTGAACGTTATATATATATATTTATATTTAAAGTAATTTTGTTGTTGGTTCTGTTATTGATGATAACCTTTGTGCCGTGTACGAGTGTGTGTCTGTGTGTAGTGTGGAGAGAGTACTTGTGTTTGTGTCTGTGTGTGTGTGAGTGTTTGTGCCTCTCCCTCGCTCTTTCCGCTCAGGTTCTCGTGGAGGTGCGTGCGTTCCGTCAATTGTTGCTTTCAGCGATAAAAGAAATTTCCGCTGGCGCTTCTGCTTTTCCGCTGCCACCGCTTTGCCACTGCCGTTGTCACTGTTGCTGTTACCGAGAGCGCACTGTGGGAATAAAGAAAGCAATTTGTTGTATGTTGAATAAAGCTCGATTGCACTGTAAATTCGTTTGTTGCGTTTCGTTTCGTTTTTTGGTTTGGTTTTGGGTTGGTTTTTGGTTTGTATGCTGTGCTGGCTTCAAGAACTGACTGCACTCTTCTTTTTTGTTGCTCGTTCTCGTCGCTCTATCTTGGTCTTTTATGATTCATTTTTAGAGTTGCTAGCAGGCAACTCTATTCGGAGTTTTACCTTTTCTTGTGTGTTAGCTGCGACTCGAGGGCAGATATGGTTGCTGGATTCTCGATAAAGCCAAGAAAACGGTAATGGCCGCGAATTCCTGTACTTTGTTGTATTGATAACGTTTTAATTCTAGGCAAAGACAATTTTTCTCGCCCGTAACCCGCACCGAAAATGTTTGGTGCAGTGTGACCAGTGGACTTATCGAAAAAATATACCGTCTGACACTCAGAAATATACCGTCAATATACCGATGAAAGTCAGATTCGTCAATTGTGTTATTCGGTTTAATATTAATATTACTAACAATTCCACTGCTCCAACGTCTTTTAGAACTGGTTCTACTGTTTGTTTTATATTTAGCAAAACAAAAAAATTTGTAACTAAAATTTAGAAATTTCAGCAGCCCCCTCAGCTCAGCGTATCTTTGTGACCATTCCAGCAGCAATCGTGACACCAGCCACCCTCAACATGATGCGACCCAGTTCCTTGAAGTCGGCGTACCGCTCTATGCAGATGGGGCGACTCGTCTCCAATTCGACCAGGGCACACGAGTTGCTGCCTAGGCAACGCGGCTTCTTCTTTACCACCTCGCCGGTGCTCTTGTGTATGGATGCCGTCAGTTTGCAAACAACAGCCGGCTCGATGAGCGACTGGTGGTGGAGCAGCACCGGATACCCCATGGTAATGGGCACCTTGACACTGAAGACGATGATGCGGGCCTGGAAGCGTGTGGTCACGGGAATAGGTGTCTGTGGGTCACTGATGATGCAGCCGACGGTTATGTTGTTGATATCCACGCCGGCCAGCGTCACCGAAATCTGATCGCCAGCAAAGACGCTCGTCTGGGTGAACTCATCCATGGTCAGGGACTTGACCTGCGCCTGCTCCCTGCTTGCGCCGACCAGCACCTTATCATTCACGCAGATCATACCAGTCTCAACTCGTCCAGAAATGCAGAATCCAGAACCAGTGCCCTTGTAGATATCCGAGACTGACATCCGCAGCGGTCTGTCGATGGCCCGCTCCGGTATCTTGAAATTCTCAATCACGTCCAGCAGGTGGCGACCACTGTACCAGCTGGTGAGTGCGGCCTCCTGGGCTGTCTTGGTGAGATTCTCGCCGGTCAGGCCAGAGCAGGGCGTGAAGCTTACGTCCGACTCCTTGAAGCCCGCCTGTTTAAGGAAGGACTTTAGTTTGGTGACAATCTCCGTGAATCGCTGCTGGGACCAGCCAACAGTGTCCAGCTTGTTGATAACCACGCCCAGCTGGTTTACACCCAGGGATCGTACCAGGATGGCATGCTCGCGCGTCTGTCCACCCAGCTCAAAGCCGGATTCGAATTCGCCCCGCGTGGCATCCACCACTAGGAGGGCCACATCCGCCTGTGTGGCACCGGAGATCATGTTGGGTATGAAATCCTTGTGGCCAGGCGCATCTAGCAGAGTCACAATCTTTGTCTTTGTCTCGATGCGAGACTGCCCCACGTCCATGGTAATACCTCGGGCACGCTCCTCGCCGGTCTCGTCCAGAACCCAGGCGTACATGAAGCTCTGCTTCCCAAGCTTCTTGGACTCTTGCTCGTGCTTGTGCATCACGCGCTGCGAGACGTTTCCTGTGTCGTAGAGTAAGTGGCCCATCAGGGTGCTCTTTCCCGCATCTACATGGCCGATGACGATCATGTGGATGTGGCTCTTTTGGTCGGCTCGCTCCTTCTCGTACAGTTGCTGGGCATTGCGTTGGGACTGGTCCTTAGAGACCTTAAAGAGGCTGGCGGAAGTGCGGGACAAATCGCCTTCTCCCACCTCGACGGGGGAATTCCTGCCAGAGACTACAGGGGAGGACGGTAACTTGGGAGAAGCTATTTCAAAGCCACGCCGCGGCTCCTTTAGGCTGATTTTTGCCGGGGGCGGGGGCTTGCTGGCAGACTTCACTGTAGTGGCTGCAATGGGGACAGGCACCTTCGGTCGGAGCGTAGGTTTCGCCGACTTCTTTGTCTCTCCGTTTAGGATCTCGTCCAAAATCTTCTGTATGTCGTAGTCAAATTTCATGGAGGTCTCCACAATGCGGCGCTCGGACACAGTGTCGCCCACCACACTCCGCACCTCGTCCACGCAGGAACTCAGCTTGGCCTGGTCCATTTCGTTCAGTTCGGGCATCTGGAAGCTCTCCGAGTCGCGTCTGGCCTTCTCGTAGGCCTCGTCCTCGGCGTCCTCGTCGTGCTCTCCTTCCTCCTTGATGTCTTTGTTCTTGCTAATGAAGGTGGAGATGCTCTGCCTGCCGCGCTCCCGGTCGTACAGCCATTGTTGGGCATCTGTGGGTGAAATGCAGTGGTCATCATCAACGGAGTGTCCGTAGACGTCATCGTAACCATCGTATTCGTCTTTGTAATCCATCGTCCGAACAATCCTGTGGCGCGACATCTTGGCGGGCCTTCTATTTAACAGTCGCTCACTATTTCACAATTTTTTTTTAATTAAAATTAATTTCATCGAAAGAATGAAAATAAAGTAGAAGTGGTGATCAGGGTTCCCCTTGTTTCATGTCTTAACCCACTTAAGCCACCTTTAAAAAACATCTATGACTTAAGCCGCGGAAAATAATACTGTTTGTAAATTCTTCTTGTAGACCCATCTGATCCTGCCCCTTTACTTACTAAAAAAAACAACGATATCTCTCACCTGAACTGCGCTAAAAGTCTTTAAGTTTTAGCATTGTCGTAGAGTATATGTATTTAAATACCATTGGTCGACAATGGGCTAATCGATCTCTGTCCATGATATTTTGATATTCGGCTTAATATTACTAGCTAGCTGGGTTCCTCAGACCCAAACGAATAGCTGTTTACGATTGATGAATCAATTTCACACAAGATTGGCTAATTTTGGGTACTTCTTTTTATTTGATGGTGTCTAAAATAAGCTTTAAACCAAAAAAGTCACAGCATAAAACGTATGTACGGAATGAATGCAAGTGTGCTTGGAATGATACATATGTACATACATACGTCGCTGTTGCTGGTCAACCGGCATCAGCTATGATATGGGTATTGTATACCCTATTTCCTTTAATAATTTCTAAAATTCTGCTGTCCAACCTGCTTTGAAACGCAAGTAATAATGTCTTTTTTACAGATACAAATTGATGTAAATATTTATGCATTTTATTTGTGTATATTAAAAATTATATGTATGTATGTACGTATATGCATCTCAATCCCGATACATACTAATCTCCGTAAGATCGTAGCTTTGAAACAAAGACACTAGCCAGTCATTGAAAAACAATTCCCAAGGGCATGCAGAGTATAGCAAACTTTAATATCATAGCATAACAAAACTATAAATATTTTTGGCACCGATAAGTATAATCAAAAGCCTCGGCCATACATGATTTAGAGACGTGAAACAACAGAGAAATAGTTTCGATTTGCCCTAAATTAAAAAAAAACCAGTTCCATGATATCTCACATTAATAAAAATATTTTCGCCAGGACAAAAAATATGCACCCTATCTATTTCATACACCTTGTCATATTTCTTTTTTTAAAGTATTTTTCTAGCAGTACAACGGATATTCTGTGTGGTCAGTATTTCAAGAGTTCATGCGTCACCTTGTTGTACTAACACACCCAGAGTAATGCCGGCCGTTGAAAAATTCCATGTAGAGCCACCATACTACTTAGTGAAACGATGCTTCAGGAAGAATTGGTAATTGGGTAGGCCCTATACGAATTTAAAGACCAGTGTAATAAATTACAGTAAGAGGGACGCCGCAGAGGAGGAGTTTGCCGAGTTGGCTGAATCGCTAGAAAACGATACCAGAGCTTCTAGACCGTTGGGTGAAGAAGACGTCTAAAGAGCAGAGGCTGGGGGCGATATTGGGGCTGCTCAAACTACGCATGAAGGAGGCGGATCAGAGGAACGCAGAGCGAGCAAGACGCCAGCAGGAGCTCTTGCAGGAGTTTAAAAGCATTTGTCGAAGCGGGAGCTTAAGAGCAGGTCCGGCTCCTCCGCATCAGCGGACGACAAAGGCCAATGAGGGTTTCCATGCGAACGCCAGAAATCCTGTTGCTCCCAATGGCATGCTGGATCCTTTTATTGTGATAAAATCGGAAATGATTACCAAAACAGATCCGACAGTGACAGTAACATAGCAGAGCCAGACACTCAGCCAGAGGAAGCTGCTCCTGTCACAGATGAGCCATGCAGATGTAGACGATCCAGAGCTGGACATTGTGATCATGAGTCCATGAGTTTCGCTCGTATAGAAGGTTCAGAATTTAAGTGATAAACAAGAAAAATGCCGCAATTACTGGCACCCTGGTAAACTACATTTTTTAAACTTCACTGGAAAATCTCGAAAATCAGTTCATGTAACTATCAATAGATGGCGCATATGATGCGTGAAGGGTGACCGTTTTCGGTATATTATATTCTCTTCGGTATATTCTGAAAATGAGACGGTATAGTTTATCGATAAAGGTCACACTGATGTGCTGTCTTCTTTTGTTAAAAATAAAAAAATAAAGAAAAAATCACTTTCGGTGCGGTTACGGGCTACAGAAAAAGCGTCGAACAGAGCCCGAATACGGTGTGCGGAAAAATGAATTCAAAGTAGCATTACAAGTGCCGCTTTTCTCTCCCCCAACGACACAGTGCGCCATCGTTGGCACCTACAACGTACATCGTTAATAATACACAACAATAGCAGCAGAGCAGGCAGCACTAAAAATATGTACAATAACGGGGCGAGGGGCTTCTCCATACACGACGCATTCGAGGAGGAAACAGACGAGGCGATACGCGTCTATGGCTCCACAGTGATATCCACACCCATGCGGGGCGGAAAACAAGGTCGCTCCACCGAAGATGTATCCATACGCATACAGGATCCAAAGTGAGTGGGGCAGTGGTCATGCCTTGCGATGTGATGCCAAAAACGGGTCTCGTTCGCTGGTCTCATTCTGATGTGTGATCTGATCTGTGGTTGTGTTTGCATGCGTGGGCTGTTATTGGCACCATTTTGGAGTTCGTTCTCTTTGTGAATCACAAAAGACAAGAAATTCAGGCCTGCCCAGCTGTTGACATTGCCAGATGCACTGGCTACATTGTAGTCTCTGCCCTGCTCAAGTCGCACTTCCTTATTCCCGCCGGAAGCACCTAAACACTTGAATAATTTACCTAAACTTTGATGCCGCAGGCGCGTGCGTGCTTCTTGCCTTCCTTCCATTCATTTCTTTTGCTCTCCCATTACCAATGCATGGCGTGTCGCAACAGCAACAGAAACACCAACAACCATATGTATGTAATTATTGAGATTATAAATGCAGACGTCCAGCCTAATTTGGCATTCAATTGTAAAAAAAATACATTGCGCATAAATTTCGTCATAAAGGTTTCTCATTTCTTGAAGAGATTGAAGCGTTATTGCGCGAAGGGGGGATGGCCTTCGCCTGCGGTCAGCTGGAACCAGTTAACAGCTCAACAACCAGCCTCGTCTGCACTTGTCGGGTTTCGTTGCCAATATAATCGAGTATAATATGCAATAATTGATTGCGTCTTGCTTTTGGCGGCAGTCCAACCCGCGATAACCCCTCAATTTGATTGATAAGAGCTTTTTAAGTCGCTTTAAATTGTGTTTTTTTTATTGTATTGCAATTGTCCTCTCTATCCTCCCCAGGGGCTATAACAAATACGCCGAAGACACAACCTCCAGGGATAGCGACTCACTCATCCAGGAATATGGTAATCTGCCCACGGAGGAGACCAACACATACTGCTGGCGACATCCGAAGGTGCGCGAGAACTGGCGCACAGTGCTGGCCGCCTTCACGTTGCTGATTGTGGGCACGGGCCTCTTTGTGATGGGCACCTTTGCCATTGCCGATCCGCAAAACACATCGCAGGGTGTTGTGTTCTTTGTCGCTGGACTTATTTGCTTTATACCAGGAGCCTATCATGTCGTCTACATTTGGCTGGCAGCCAAAGGCTATCGAGGGTTCGATTTCTATCACCTGCCCCTGTTCACATAAACAAAGGAGAGCAGCTGCATTGGAGTGAATTGGTTGATCCAACAGAAGAGAGAAGAGAGATAAGCAGTGAAAGAGAGAGAGAGAGAAAGAGAGAGAGAGAGAGAGAGAGGGAATGGGAGAACCCTGTCTATAAATATAAATCTAAACATTTGTTTATATTTTCTGTAAGCGAATCTTTTGTTCTATAACGTAAATAACTCAACTCGTTTTGTGTAACGTACGTTTTTTGTTTAGACCAAGCTTCCCGAGAAAAACCCCTCAGAACCCGAATCGAAATTTAGCAATATATTTATATAAATGATATATACTTTACAAGAAATTATACTCAGTAAACTGTTTTTGTATCCCCTCGAATCCCAGAAGAAAGTGCAAAACAATTCATACCATACGTACCCTCGAAATTGATTTAAGCAAAACAGATAAAAGGTAGTAAACACACAAGAGAAAGACTTTGTATATGATGCTAACACGTTGAGGAATCGCTAGAGTTATAACATATTATATATATCTATATATACGTATATATTGTAATGTAATTTATTGAAATTTAATTGCACCAAAAAAGCAAACGATCGCGAGCGTAACGAAAAATGTTTTACGACTTTCCAAAAAAGAAACTCACATAAAACTCAACCCCAAAAACCCACGAATCTATGTACTATACGATTAGTGAGCGTCTGTCCAGGGATGCGCCTTAAAGAACTAGAACTAGACTTTAGTCAACGTCGAATTACGAATATAATTTAGCGGATTGTAAAGCGAAAAGAGAACTCTTAAGCAAAACCCCATGATAATACCTAGCTACTACTCGTTCTAGTGATGTAAGTCGATGACCCGATATTGCAATACGTTCTTTTTATGAATATATTGATGACGCGACTCTATTCCGCCTTTATCCCATTTTATCCCCCGCATTCTTAAAAACCTTACCCGTCCTCTAATGAAATTACATCTCACAGTCATTAACATTTCTTGAAACTGAAACTGATTCACCTCTTCACAACACACCTCTCATCCGTTTAGTTCTTAATGATGTATAATTTCTTTTTTAAGAAATGCTGAATATGGTTGTATTAATACGAAAAAGAAACAAGAAAAAAACAACATAAAAACACAACAAAAATAACAATAAATTTAATGAACAGACACATAAATACGATTTATGGATAATCTATCTAATCTAATACAGGACTACTTTATCTTTTCCAAAATTTACACGAAATTTGTATGTATGTTTAGTTTTGTATATCTCTGTAGTTTTTGTGACTTTTGTATGTATATTTTCCTATTTAATGTTGGTTTTTATGCAAATTAAATAATATTATTTTTGAAAAACCTGATTTTAATTATATTCATTTATTATACATATACAAATGATATGTGTATCATTTAAGTTACTTCATCCGAAAACCGAGATTTGACTGGGTTTAATTTATTTATGTTTTCTCGCTATCGAAGTTATGATAGTGATAAAGGTGAAGTTTTTATCAATTGTTTTTGGTTTTTTCAACGTGATTTATCATTGGTTCAGTCTTTTTTTCTTTTCATTTCTGCCCTGTCTTCGGGAAATTGATTTCTTTTACTGGCTAAAAATATAGCGATAACATTTATCTTTAATTTGCGGCATTCCCACTGAAATTCATCATTTGCCCCAAGAACACAGTGCGTTTCAAAGCTGTAAGAGAAAGATTTAGACTCCATACTGCCCAAAACTGGTTGTTCTGATATATGCAATCAATCTAGTTTATTCTATTCCCAAAATAGATCAAGTTCTATTAGTAAAATTTCCAACACTTAATTCTGTAGTTTAATAGATTTCCTTCTTGTTCCAAACCTGAACACAGATCGAACTATGTATAACATAAGATAAACTCCCATATATGTATGTAGAAAGCTCCAACCTGTTGTCCTACACATATGAAACGCACTGTGGACACGCTCCAGTTCCAGCTCCAGCTCCCAACCCAACTCCAAAGCCCCAATCGAGGGTACTCTTAGGTTAATGGATATTTCAGTTGCCTTTGGCCAATGGCGAAGCAGATGAAATGAAGTGAAATGATATTATATGAATGTATGAAACAATCAAATTGGCAATGGCTTTGGAAAGAATGAATAGTACTTTTGCTCAATACAAAGTTAACGACGGCTCTAATAGGTTTAATTATATTGGTGTTGTGCGTCTCCCCCTCGAATCGAATCGATTATTTTTGTAGCTTCGAACTTATTTGAATTGAATTTGAATATTGTACGTATAATTGTTGCCTCGACCCGACCCGATCCGACCCCGACTCGGTGCGGCCGTTGATGATTAAGCTTTAAATGTGCTGCTTAGGAATGTAAGTGTGGAAATGATATGGAATAAAGTGCATGGAAATAAAAGCCAAACAGCAGTGTTCTTGTTTCTATCCAACCATCATTCGTAGTCCCCATTCAATCACTTGCCGAATCCCATCCAATCCAACCCCTGTACAGAAGAGACAATTTGTCACCAGGCATCGATCAAACAAGAGGACATCCAGAGAGTGCGGCCGCCTGGCAACGGGCGCCATTGAAATGCCTGATAGCTGGCCATAACCGCAGCGGCAGCGGGAGGTGCCGGAGGAGCAGCCGCTAATGTCTGGAGTGCACATCCCCATATCCATATCCAAGTTCATTAGACTTTAATGGGTGCTTGGCCTGTGATGGGGCCCTGAGCGGGGACTGCGGCTCCTCTGTGCTGTGCTTTGTCGCTTTTGCACGCCACGAAATGGAAAGTTTTGGCGCCTGCGAATCATAAATCCTGTGTGGCGTCTAAAAATATCCCAACACTCGAAGGGAATCGATGCGAAAGCCGCCACCGCCGCCGCCGACAGAGATGAGCGAGCACGAGGCGGAGTCGGACGAGGATTGCGAGGTCTATTGTAAGTCGCCACTGCTGGCAGCAGCATGTCTCTATTGATGGATTATTCCGCAGTCCTGAAGCCCGTCAACGAATACAACATTGTGGACAAGATCAAGGAGGCCAACAAGGAGCTCTTTGCACCCGACGAGGCCGCCAATGGCAACGGCAAGGTGACCAAAGTGACCTTCGCCCTGAACTTGGAGGATTACGAGCCTACGGGGGAGCAGCCGAAGGAGCAGAGTCCCAGTCCACCTGACGAACTTCTAGAGCAGTTGACGCAGCTGAAGCTGAAGCCCATTGCAGAGGAGGAGGCATCGTCGTCGCCGCCGCTTCCAGCTCCAGAGGTGGCCATGAATCCAGTGGAGGCTAAGATAATTGCAGAGCCTTCAGCGGAAGAGTCCGAAGTGGAGGTGGAGGAGGAAATATGCGAGGAAATCCTAGACCTCACGGAAGTCCCACAGAAGCCCGCCCCCGAGGAAGCCATCGTTGTGGAGGAGGAAGACGACTTCTCCGGCGTGGATGAGGCGGATCTGGATGATGACACGCCCCTCAAGAACGATTCCTCCACGGTTTCTGCCCTTCAACGTCGCCAGAATACATTCGAGCACGACTACGATGATGAGGAGTCGGATCAGAAGAGTCTGACCAACCTGCTGACCGAATCTGACTGCGAGGAAGAGGAACGCACTTTGAATGAGGCGCGCCTTAAGCTGCGTCAAGCCTACAAGAATCTCTACAAGACCCTGGATCCCAAGGGCCAGGCACAGATCGATAGGCTGACCGGAGTGGAGGATGATCATGAATCTCCTCCACCAGTGCCGCCAGCAGCAGACCATGACAATGAGGCAGAGGAAGACGACGACTTGTCCATCATTGTAGCCAGCTACATCCCGGACGACTTTGAGCTGAACGAGCAAAGCATTTACTACAAAAGGGAGGACTCAATCCCACCTAATGAAGCTAACGAGGCCACCGCCGCCTGCCCCAAATCCAGCTCCAAGACTTTCTTCAATTCACGCCGCTTTAGCTTCCGTCGGAGGGCCAAGCCCACCCCAACACCTTCGTCGGCCTCCGCTTCGACAGCATCGCCCTCGATCCGGATGAACTACAAGACCTGCTGCGAGCATCGACACTCGCTGCAGGAGAAACTGCCTCGCTACACCGGCTACATGTCTGAGTACGGGCTGAGCGCACAGCAGCTGCAGCGAAGGGAGCAGAAGCTCCGCCGAAAGCAGCGATACGTGATGGAGCAGACGCTCAGGAGCAACGAGCACGACCTGAAGAAGATGCAGGACAACGAGCGCGCCTTCACCACGTGGCTGAAGAATAAGATGCGCTATCCCATCAACAAGACCCGCAACATGTTCGATGCACATCGTCGCAGAGGTAGTGTGGCCGCCGCAGTCACAAGTCCTCACTCCTATTCCCGGCAGGAGCATCCGCATCAGCATCAGCGGCAGCAGCACTCTGGTCTTCGAAGGGAGGACAGCGATGACATGCTCCATGTCTATCGCAAGCTCTTGGGCAGCTGGAACAAGTAAAGCCAGCGACAGATGGTATCTTAAATTAATTTATTACATGTATTATCGTATTATAATTATGAAATTTGTAATACAACTTTGAAGCGGTGAAAATGAATGGGAGATTAGTGCAAAAGAAGTTGGAGATGGCCGGAGGAAGGGAGTTTGGGTGGGGGTGGGGGTTTTAACAGATAACAGGAAAGTTTGAAACAGACAGCAGTTGCGAGTAAACCACATTTAACGACGAGACTTCTTCGACTTGTGACCATTGTCACGGCTGTCCTCCCGCGAACGCTTCCGATCATGGTCCTTGCTCTTACTGCTGCTCTTGTGACCAGAAGATGAGGAATGATGCTTGTCCCGATTGTGGTACTTATCCTTGGACGACTTCGAAGGGCTTTAAAAATAAGATTGAGAGTAGGTTTTGTTATTATTAATATATTATTGACGCAAGCCGCAGAACTTTGTTTTATAATTTTGTAGCAAGCAACATTTGAAGATGATTTGGTTTTTTTTTGGAAAAGAAATTTCGCATTAATTTATGAAGTATTTTTAAGAAGCTATTGGAATTGTCGTATTATAAGTGGGGGGTTTTTTTTGGGTGCAGTCAAAGAAGTTTGGCATTAGAAAGCTAAAGTCATAAAAAAAAAAGAGAAAACAATCAAAAATGTAGAATGTAAAAGTCTATCCCTATTTCAACATTTTCATGTACTTCATAAATTTCTTAATATCAAAATCCAATCTACAAGCCAATCGGTGTTTAATTTTTCCATTTTGTATGGGATTTTTTTTGTGTGGAATGCGAATGTTGGTGTATGGGATGCGATGCTCTTGCGTTATGCCTGATGATGCTAGAGGTTGGTTGGTGGGTTTTCGTTAACAAACCTAGATGAGCTGCCATGTTTGGAGCTGGAGGATTTTAAATGCGAAGAGGAAGAGGAGGAATTCGACTTATGCTTTTTACTGTGCGATGACGATGATCGCTGCTCCTCGCGGTCTCGTCGACTGTGTTGGGTGTACGTGTGCGTAAATGGGGGGAGAACAATTGATAAAGATAAAACAGAGGAGAGCTGAGGTTAAGTCACATTCGAAGGGTGGACGCCATTCTGGGGCCATTCGGCTCTCTCTCATACCTGTGTTTGGAACTCATGTCGCTCTTTTTCGTCTCGAATTTCGTGCCGTTGCGCTTGTCATCGGTGGGCTGATAATCGTGATTTCGATCTTCCTCGGCCGCCTCACGCTCCAGATCGGACCAGTCCTTGCCGGATTCTTCATCGGAGCCAAGATCTTCTGCAAAACGAGAGTATGGTTTGATTTGGGGGAAAACTATCATGAGAATAGAATCAGTAAATTACCATCGCTGTCATCGCTCTCATCTTCAGAGGCTTCTGAGTATTCGGAATCTTCTTCGGACTCCTCATCTGTTTCGGCATCTGTGGGATTGTAGGCTTCATCCTCTTCCGATTCGGCAGTTTCATTATCCTCTTCGCCATCGGATTCGGGGTCCAAGAAGGACCAGCCGCCCTGCTCGAAGAAGCCCTGCGGATCATCTACAATCGTCTTCATGATCTTTTGCCAGTTCAGAGATTGAACGCCCTCCGAGTAGCGAATATCGCAAGAGCTGAAAGAATCAGCACAATTGAAACACGAGGGTAAACAAAGTCAAATTTTAGACCCACTTTAGCCACTCCTTGACGTGGTCCAGCATATTCATGGGAATGGCATTGACCATGGCAACCTTCTTGTTGTACTCCTTGAACACAAATATCATGTCGAAGTTGCGCAGATGGAATTGGACACGCTCAAAGTGCACCAGCTCGACATCATCCAGGGTTATGACGAATGGCGGCCATTCTGTTAGATTAACCAGCGATCCAGAGGTGGGCTGCAGCGTGACGGTACTGCGGAAGGGCGCGCCGGGGAAACCCAGTTCACGGAATGGCGTATCGAACTCCACAATAGACTTGGTCATGGTCTCCACCTTCTCGCAGAAGCTCTTAAAGGCCGTCTTCAGCTTGTGGCGCAGCTCTCGCTCCGCCTGCTCCGCGGCCAAATCGTCGCGATCGTGCATGTGCTGATGCTTGCCCAAATCCGTGGTGATCTCGCCCACCTCCGTGTAGAACTGGACATCCACGTGCTTTTTTTTGCCAAACATGATGGCATACTTGAGGTGGAAATGGAGCAGAATGATCATTTCACCGTCGCAGGGCTGGAAGAAGGCGCTCTTGATGTTGTTGTAGAGGATATCCACTTTGTCGCCGCGCACAGAGATGTAGCGGAAGCCATTCGTGTGCGCCTCCAAGCTGCCCGTCATTCGTTTCGTTACGATATTGGGACGAATGTACAGATCTTTGAGCTTGGGATTGCCCTTGTTCTGGGACAATATCAGCGTATCTTGCTTGACCAGATCCTCTTTTTCCCGCTCCTCGGCTTCGCGCGTTTTAAAGCGTTTCTGCACCTCCTTGATCAAGCGGAAAGCGTTATTCAGATTGGCCGACGGAGCAACCACCTCGCCATGCTCCTTCAAATTCGAGCTGCGGTACGTCCTGCAAGGGAATGGATGGAGATGGTTAGCCAATGTTCAATCTATGCAGGATCAACACTTACACTTCCTTAACGAATGTGGCCTCTGGCTGGGGATAGAGACCACCCTCATTGCGCCCCATTGTGGCACCCGGATGAAAGAAGTTAATACGCAAGTAGGTGTACTCGCCCTCCACGGACTGTGAAATGTTCTTGATGGTGGAAATGTGGAAAGGCACCTGGATGCCGAACACGGGCATAATGACTGTCTCGTATTTCTTGTCCACGTACAGCTTCAGTTCCTTGACCTCGGGCTCGCGTGGCATTTGGCTGATGGACTTGTAGGAAACGGTGTTCTTGCGCACCTTCTCCACTTCCTTGGAATTTCCCTGCTTCGCCAGACGCTCCTTGGCGCGAGCGTTCAGCTGCTGGGCTAGCTCCCGTTGATGCTCCTTGCGCTTCTCCTCTGTGTTGATCTCATTTCGCAGCTTCGAGTCCAGGACAGCATTCCTTTTACTGCGTCCTAGGATTTCAGAGCCCTGATCCTCTTTGGAGGCCTTTTTATCATCCACATCCTCCTCCTCGCTGTCGTCCTTGATGAAAATGCCGACATTTTTTATCTTCTTTTTGGAAGGGGTCATCACACTGGCTGGCGATTGCTCGCCCACCAGCACAGTGTCTCCTATGAACAGGGCATAGGTTTTACCCTCCTTGTCGGCAGCTTCGGGATTGGTGAGATTGGAGATGCCGACATGCAGATTGAAGACCATATTCTTCTTGATCAGCGCCTGACACTTGGGTCCAATGACAATGGAGTTCTCCCGGAACTCCAGGCCCATGGCAAAGCCGAATGTCTTTGTGAGATTATCCACCATATTCGGTTTTTCCTTCTTCACGTGGGCCAGTGTCTTTTCGTAGACCTCGCACAGCTTGGCACCTGGCACGAGCAGCTTGAGAATCTCCTCCTGTACATTTACCAGAAACGTGTAGTTTTCCTGCATGGCCTCGGTGGGGTTGACAAGGAAAGTCCGTGATATATTGGAGCAATACGATTTGTAGCGGGCGCCCAGGGAGCAAACGATCACGCCAAAGTGCAATACATTCTTATCAGACGCGGCGGAGAACTTAAGGCTGTAGGATCCACCCGATTGAATTATAGGCGGATAGGCCATGTCCAGTAGCCTGGGATCCAGGCCACTGGTGTATTTCTTTTCGGTAATGGCGGCATCACACCCATCGGACAGCTTTGTGTGCTTTACTTTCTGCAAGGGAATTGGGATGATTACAAGAGTACTCTTGGCATGGATTCTAGAAAAGACCTCACCCTGTCTGAATCGATAATGTCCATAATTTCATCCTTGAGATATTTGTTGAAAATGTCCATCGACACCAGTGAGGCCTTACGTATATTGTTGATTTCGGACTCATCTTTGGGGCACATCAAGTACGCGATGATCGTGCTGATGTCCACGTGCTCGAACTGTGACTCCATTAGTATCTTTTTCCACGACTCGCAGTACTCTCCCGGATAGGAATCTTTGCTGAAGACGCCCAAGCGCTTGCCCTTCTTCGAGTTCTGTATGCTCTTGATGAGCTTCTCAAAGTTTCCCTTATCCTTGTCGGTCTGCCAAGCGAAGTAAGCATGTAATCGAATTGAACTTGGAAGGGGAATCTCGATTTACTTACCCGGTCCCTCACAAGCAGCTTTATTTCAGGCACGCCCTCTTCGCTGATGTTCTGGGCCTGCTTCAGAAACTCGATCTTCTTCTTGCTTGTGAGAAAGTAGATGGCATCGGAGGCAAACACTGAGATAGTGTCCGTCAGCTCGTAGCCAAGCAGCCAGATCTGAAGGGCCAGGGACTTGGAGTAAATCACATCTTCGTCGCAGCCGACGACGCTCATGATACAGTCCAGATTGCCCAGGGCATCGTCGTGTCCAGTGCTTGGTGCCTGGGGATGATACACACACAGACAAACATATATACTTAAGCTGATTTGCAAATCTCCACAAGGCAGCCGCGATAGTAATCTCCGCACGCCTCCTAACCTAACTCGACCCAGGGATATGAAAATCCAGATTCGCTTGTGAATTTCACAACAATATTCAACTGTTTCTTTATCTCAGCCACATGTGAAGGCTATTTATCACTGGAGAACTGACTCGGGCGCTCCTGTGGACACGAGACAACAGACCGAGACGCGCCAGAACCGCACTTACCTTCCATTCCGTGTAAAGCCGCTTTACGCGACGCACAAACGCCTCTTTATCCAGCACAAAGCTCGACATGCTGCTGCTCTAGCCACACCAACTAGTAGGTAATTCCGATCTTAGTTATATTTCAGCTAAATTCTTTTTCACACATTTGCGAATTCCGCCGGATGAAAAAATTGCGCGGCAGCGGCAAGGGTAAGAAGAAGAAACAGCGTCTGCAGTACAGTGTTGCCATTTTAGCCTATTTAAGGCTAGATCTAGCTTATTTGAAAACGGAAAAGCTTGAAAAATTATGAAAATTCTTATAGCCTTAAATCTAGCCTTTTTTAATTTCACTCTGTTTATGTTTGCCTGTTTATATCCTACATATATTTTTAGGCAAATCGAACAAAAAGTATATTTGTTGTACATTATCATGGTATTTTAGAATTCATTTATGGTATATTTTCGTTAAAAAGTTTCGGTCACTACTACACAGAAACTTGGCGATCGCGTGAAATGTGTAATTGTGTAAAATTGAGGTGCAAGGATTTTATAAAGGAGCTTATTATCCAACACAGAGAAAGGTAAGCTTCAATAGGATTTCATATTAAAACTAAGTAATAATCTGCTGTTTAATTTCAGACTTCCAGATAATTTTGAGACATTGGAAAAACTGCAAGTTTTTGCAGCAGACAATGTACTAACATAACATAATAGAAATCCTAATGATCTCATTTCCATATTGGAACACTTCAACTATAGCAATATAGATGGAATTCTTGCCCAATATGGCAAAATTCACTTAGTCCCTTGGCAAAGTACAGATGACACTATTAAGCTTTGGTCAGAAGTACTGACTTATAAAGATGCTGGCAAAAACAAACCTCTTGAAGAAATCGCTTTATTTGCCATTGAAATTTTAAGTCTACCGTGGTCAAATCCTGCCATTGAACGTGTAATCGGTCAAATAAATATCGTTAAGACCAAGCTTAGGAACAAAATGACTGTTAAATCCTTAAACTCAATATTAAATATAAGGTTTGTTTTAGTAATATTTAATTGTCTGATGAACACGACTATAATTCTTTTGAATTTTACAGATATGGATTGCGCCGTCATGGCATATGTGGCCACAACTGCCAATTACCGGAGAAATATTTAAATTTAATACGTTCCAGCGATAAATATACCGATTCGAGTAATAGCGAGTTGGATAAAATAATAACACAATTAGAAATGTGTATATCTATGTGTTTTTTTTTTATTTTTTGGCCTTTTTTTTCAATTTTTAGCTTGTTTTAGCTTGTGTTTTTGTGAAATCTAGCTTAATTTGACGCTCAAAATCTGGCAACACTGCAGTGCAGTAGTGACCGCGGACTTATCGATAACGACCATCAGGAATATACTGAAACATACCATCTCATTTTAAAAATATACCATAAATATACTGATGAATTCAAGTTCTATTTTACATATTCCTCGTTTTTGATATTCCGTCGAATATTACTATTTTCTACACAATTGGTTAGTTTTTAGTCCTTGCTTTTATTGCATTTTGACTAAAACAAGGTTTAAACAAAATAGTTCAACAAAAAAACAGTCGCAATGTTGCTAGTATTTGAAGACATGATGGGTGTATAGCATTTGTGCACCCTATTTCGTTAATTTTATATGTAGATCAAACGCAATTTATTAAGACCTTTTCTCAAATTGATATGTTTTTGACTTATTTATGTGTATTATTAGTATCTTGTATATATTTATCTCGATCCTGAGCCTTGGAAGACAAACGTATTCACAACTCTATAACATCCATTTCCCCCAGGGTATGTGTGCATGGAATAAGCAACATTTGTGTATGGAATGGGACTCATTGTATATTTGTTCGATATAATGTTAGCGCGCTTATCGATAGCAGCCCAAAAAACGATAGACGGGAAAAACGTTTCGTTTAAATATATTTAAGTTTATTATTGTATTCATTCAGTATTATCAACATTTGCAATTACGTACTGTGACGGCTAATATGTATTTTCGTTGAACTAATTCATTCCGTTAGCAAATTCTACGAATTTAGAGCTGGGTTAATTCTTTGTGGCCGTTGGACTGCCGGATGATTCGTCTGGTCTGGCTACCTGTAGATACTCCTGGATATCGTAGTCAAACAGCTCGAAATCATATCTTGGAATAGAACAAAGACTGTTAGAGCACTATCAAAAGGGGTATTAGATTGTCCCACTCACTTGTAATACTCGTATAGCTCCAGCATTTCGTGCCTTGTGAGCTGGGCATAGAACTGCTGCTGGAGTTCGTGCGTCTTGCGGCCACCTTTGCCCATGTTGCGCCACACGGGCGCTATCACCCTTTTCAGGCCAGTCTTTTCGATTAGATATAATTGATCCTCTGTGAGCGACTCGAACTTCAGTATCATGTCGAAACGAATCAGACAGGGTGTGCAGAACGACGTGGCCGCCACAAAGTGCATGTCAATGAAGCTGCCCCGCTTCACCTGGTCGAGCAGCCAGTTGACAAACTCCGGAAACGAAGGATACTTGGTGTTGGGCGCTCGGGCCACCAGGGAAGGCTGTCAGGAATAATAGATGATAGATCAGGACAATAGTTCAGGGGGTGTTCCGTCAGTCTTTGATTCCCTTCTTACCTTCTTGCGATAATTGCGCACAATGCTGCGGCCCAGCTTGTCATGGAAGGAATAGGGCAGGGCGAACACCATCTTATCGCGATAAGCGCTCAACAGCCTCTCAAAGGGATTGCGTGCAATGATAAAGGTTAGCGAATCATTCTGCGCCTCGCGCAGCTGCAAATGAAAAGCAAAAGTGTCATACGAGGTATGTACATACATATATAAAAAAAAAATGTATGATGCAAGTTTCCGTTCCATTTCCGCACTCACCTCGTCGAGGGTCACTCGCGGATAGCGTTCTCTGGCCAGATTCAGGAGAATCTTTTTGGTTTTGCGCAAATAACTGGGTGAGTAACCGGCCAGAACATTGAAGTTGAACATCCACGATGAGGAGGCAGCCTTAAACACATTGCACCTACACAAAATTCGTGGCTTTAGTGGAGGAGTTCCTGTGAATGTGATGTGATGTGTAATTTGTATACGCACCATATAATGTGATACTTTTTGTTGACCAAAAACTCCCATGTGTTTGGGGTGTGCCACGAGTCGTGACCTGTAAATAAGATTGATGTGAAGGAGAAGTTCGTTCTCACACTCTCACTCTTCCTCTCTTTCTCTCTCCCTCTCTCCCTCTCTCTATTTATCTATCTCTCTCTGTGGCTGTGGCCCCATGACCCACCTAACACATCCAGGCCATAGGCCGAGCACTTGTCCTTCAGTCGCTCCCTCCGCTGATCCATTCGCTGCTCCACCTGAAGCATTTCCTGCGGCGTAAGCGTCTGCACGGCATACTCGGGAATGAGGGGCAGGCGTGTCTGATTGATGTCCTGTTCGGATAAACAAATTCAGAAATAATGAAACTTAATGGCAGCCATAAGATATAGTATGGTTATGGCTATGGTTATGGGGTATGCGAATCGAATGCCGAACCCAAAAGGCCTGCCAATATATATTATAGTACAACCACGAAAGAATCGACTCTATTTTTGGTTTTTTTTAGAATTTTTCTCCGGTTACATCATTAGTTATACTTTTTCCCTGTTTGTGCGGTTGTGGGTGGGTGTGCTTGAGTGTTTGAGTGTGTGTCTGTGTGTGTTTGTTCTGGTTACATATTTACTTTATCAACATAGCGCCACTTGTTCTTTGTCTTGCCCGTTGCCACCACGGTCAGATCCTTGTTCTTGTTCTTGTTCAGCAGCAGCACCGGATATCGAAATGTTTGCCCCTGCGACTGCTGTTGTTGCTGCCGCTGCCGCTGCTGTTGCTGTTGCTGCTGATGCTGCTGTTGTTGCTGCTGCTGCTGATGTGGCGGCTGCTGCTGCTGCTGTTGCACATTAAAGGCCTAGAAAAGCAGTGGCAGTTTGGGTTTTCTTTGTATTTAGTAAAAGTGTTTCATGTGGTGGCTGTCTGTATTTTTCTAGGTTAAGAGCTTAGAGATGACATGGCGTATGCGTATTATAAAAGCGTTTCTAATGGCCAAGCACTGTCAAGGTCGCAGAGAGTCGCAGTCGCAGTCGCCCACTCGGCGGCCAGCAATCTCAATTAAAACTACCAGACAGCAGTGTCAACTTTCATCTAGAGATCGCCACATGAATCAAGTGGCACTGCGGCCATGGGACTGGGAAGCCACTGGACAAGCTGTCAGACAGTCATGGCAGCCACTTTGCATTTTACTCGCGTACGCGGGAGCAAACTCTTTAGTTACATCTACTCTACTCTGCCTGGGGGGTTGGGGTACATTTGTTCTCGGCAGAGGGGTGGGAAACATATAAATCTCTTGGTTATATATGTATGTAGGGTCTATCTAGATTGGTGTATGAGGAACGCTTTTGGAATAATGATTATTATGGAATACTACATACATATATTGGCAGATTAAAAAGAGCTTGAGTGCTCGAAAATGGCAACTTCTATTAAATATACTTAGCACATTTTCGTAGGGATTGAGGCAAAAGAGTATCCCACCATCGGCTTGTAAAAAAATCCTTCAAATTCCTTCTCATCCCCATCTAAAGTGGCGCTATGTGCATGACGTATACTGTGCGGAAATGGGTTGGTAATTTGCGATGGGGTTGGAATTTTAGGGGAGGCGTATCTACTGCCTTATCAGCGTGTGTGTGTGTGTGTGTGTGTGCGCGTGGGTGTTTTGTGGAATGCTGTGCTTAATTATGCGTGTACGAGTATGCCGGGCAAAACAAAAGCTTCGAATAAACTAGAGCATACATCGCGCTGCATGCCGTATGCCGTAAGCCGTATGCGTGTTCTGTAAACTTTGCTCTTTTTTCGGGACTGCCTAAGCATTTGTCATTTGTCATTTGGGTAATGTTATGCAAATTAGCAGTGGGAAAGCGTTTATTGATTGTGGTATCCCACCAGCAGAGCGAGTATTAGTACCAGTAGCAGTCCTAGTGGCAATCCTAGTAGCAGTCCCTCCGGATCGATTTTCATGGGACAGCTAGCCAGGCAGCCAGCATTGATGACTTTTTTATGATGCCGCAAGTAATTAAGTGTAATTTAAGCAAATGTTTTTTTCTTCTTCCTTTTGCCAACCATTTGGCCAAGGCCGGGCACGGTCGCCTCCAAGTCTCCGGCGACCACGCAACGCATTGCAAATGACGGCAAAGCGGATTAACCCGAACCCCCTTGGCAAAAGGGGGGGAAAGGGTTGGCCAGAGGGCGTGCCCGGAGGCGGTCCGGGCCAGCTTATGTGGTTATAGGCCAAGAAAGTTGCAGGCTTGTGCTCTTAATTGTTGCGCTATTAGAATACTCCCGCTTTGTTCAGCGTTTGTTCAATTTCAAGCACAAATAGGCGATAAAGCTAGCGAAATCCCCCAGCTAATTTCAACTTAATTTGCACCTAATCAGGCGGTCTAACAAATGCTCTCGGATCTAACTAGTCGTATGTATAAGCTGTTCAAAGATCGCAGTCGTGCAACGAAGTGTGAAAGGCAGAACAATGCTAAAATTGCTAACAACTTTGATAAATAAACAATAACAAAATGCTTTCAATTTCAAATATTTGGTTCATTTTCATTCGCCTCTCATGTACGAATAGTATTTATAGAGATTATACCGATTGGGATAATGCTAATGCCCTTCACACAACAAATTGTTTATAGAATCCGGATGATTGTACAGAGATAGTGGACTTATCTTTCATAAATATAGTAATATTTAAACAATTTCAGATGGTTTCTATTTCTGGTTTTCTCCGTTTCACTGACACGGACACTTGGGGCAATCGATTTGCCTGCAATTGGTTTGTAGTCAGGCGATATGAAGGGTAAAAGGCAGGCGTGCTGGGCAGGGCAGGGCAGGGCAGGCATTCTCTACAAGCTGCTATATATATATACATATATATGTCTACAATCTATAGCTAAAAGCAAGGGCACATGTTTGCTGGCCACTCAAAGGGCTACAGAACTACAATATATTCTCTACCGAATTGGATACTGGAGTGGTTCTGGCAACCCACACACTCACTCTCTGACCCACTGCGCCACTCACCTCGAATCCACGTATTTTCTGCAGCTGCTCGTTCCACACCAGGTAGACCAGAGAGAGGGGCAGTAGCAGCAACGAGACGGCCGTAAAGATGAGCAAATATCGCCGGATGGTGCGACAATTTGCCAGGCTCTTGCTCAATTTCATTTAAACTCGAATGTAGCTGCATAGGAACTGATTTCTTTTGGATCGTTTCTTCTTTTTGTTGGTTGTTCTTTGGTTGGTTGATTGGTTTTCTTGGATATATATAGTATACACTATATATCTATTATTGATATTCATGAGACATTTCCGGGGGCTACGCGACCGCAAATTTGGCCTGCAGTTGGCGACAATATTTGTAAATGTTGCTCATGGCTGCTAAGCGAAAGCTAAATTTAGTTTTTCTGTGCTAAATGTTCTTTAAAAAAAGTATCAAAAAAAGCAACAACAAAAAGTGGGAGAGGAACAGAGCCGAAGAGTAAATAGATCATTCAGCAATGGAATCCGGCGGTGTGTGTGTCTGACAGTCTGATGACAATTCTGTTTTATGGTCGAGTGCCTTTCGGGCCAAATTGTGTCACTGCAATGGGCTTGATATTTCAGGCCAAACAATTGTACGCTTTTCTCTTGGTTTCTGTCGGTGGGGGTTTGTTTTCCTCTTTCATTGTTTTTTTTTTTTGAAATGCAAGTCCGGAAACAACAAACAATACTTATTTTATTGATTTTCTACTCCATTTCCTAAACAACTCCATTCTCTTTCGTAGATGGAGGGGAAGTGCCCAAAAAAGAGTGCAACCAGAGAGGGGACTAAGTGACGGGGAGGCAGGGTGTGATACTCTGGAGGGGTTTCTCGCCAAACACATTTCAATTGTCGATGTTCAGGGCCTTTTATTATTGTTTTTGTCTTTTTCTAATTTATTTATTTTAAATTCATTAAAGGCACTCTCACGCACACAGTCTCACACTCTTCCACACACACTCTAACACTCAAACACACAAAAGAGACCAAAAGTTGGCAAACAAAATGCTAAATGCGGGGCGTAAGAGGCGTATACGTAACGTGTTGTCCATTGCTTTGCTTTTGCATTTGTGCCTTTTGCCTTTGCCTTTGCCTTTGCTCTTTCTTCACCTCTCCCGTACAACACTCTCTCGCTCGTTGTCTCTCCCCCGCAACAACAACCACAATGGAGGGCAACATTTTGTTAGTTTTTTTTATTATTCAATTGTTTGCCAATTGAAGAAAAGCGCGCAATCAATATCAATTTGCAAAGCGTGCCGTGATATATTCCTCCTCTCTCATTTTCTCTTATTTCTCTCACTCTTTCTCTTATGGTTTCACCAAACAAAAAATATAGCTGATGGGGGAGGGGTAGGGGGTGGTGTGATTGTAACGGGGGGAAAAGTCACCAAACACAAGCCGTCGCCCGTCATCACCGAACGACGCACATTTCACGAATGAAATCAAATGCGAAAAATACAAAATACGAAATGAGCAGAGGCCCAGGCAGGCATGCCCTCTCTGCACCCTGCACTCTACTCTCTATCAACGAGAACGTGGCAGTTTCAGTTTCATGCTGCCGCGTCTCTGCCAGCGCATGCGATTCCTTGAGCTCGGCTTTTTATGTTGTCCACCCTACCTCCCATCAGAGGGTATGATGGCTTGGAGCATAGTTTTGCGAAGCAGAAAAGGATTCGCGTGCGACCGAGTAGAGAGGATAAACTCTATCTACCTATCTATCTATCTAGCTAACTATCTATCTATCTACATAAATCATTTTGAGATTTGGAGCTCCATCTGATAATAAAAAGGTTGTCAAATCGTTTTTTTTGGGGTAGTTAGGGTACATCATAAACTGACAATGGTGGTCGTTGAACTCCCAGGGTATTTGTTCTTCGGCTGGATAACTTTCCTGCATATTTGTTTATTTACGGTTGTTGTAGTTGTCTCCCCGCCAGGGTGGCGGGACAAACCCTGCCGGGGGTGGTTGGGTTGGTTGTTTGGCCATTTGATTTGTTTATCGGAGAGAGAAAAAGTCGCATTCTTAACAGCACGCAGGGAGAGTGAAATGCGCAGTGAGAGAGAGTGAAATGCAAGGGTTTCTTTCTCTTGCATTGGAGCAACAGCAGGATGGCGTGGGTGGTTTCAAAAGTTATCGGTTATTGCATACGATTTAGCTGATCTTTTCAAAGTGTTAAAACTTAGAAGCGGAATAAATAAGAGAGATGAATAGCTAGAGTCGCCAGACATTTGATTCTGAGCCTTATTTAGATCTATTTTATGTGGGCGGATATGCTTTCTTCGTTGCGTTGCAAACATCTGTTCAATATCATTGTAATCTCTATAATACAAGGCATAACAATACGGAAATGACCTTTATCCTTAAATAGAACACGCTCAGACGATTCCATTCGATACAAAAATATTTTACTATATATTTCACTCTCACTAAACAGTTAAATGTTGGTAAAAATATTGCTAGTTGAACAGGACCGCTTTGAGGTAAGTAAATGCAATTATGGAAGGCCGGCATTAACCCTCAGTACTTGATCAGGGAGTGTACTTTGCAGTCCAGCTTCTTGCGGCCGTCGAGGCCGACCAGTTCCATCACCACCAGGCTTTCTAGCACAACGCCACCCACTTTACGAACCAGCTCGGAGGCGGCTAGCAGGGAACCACCTGTGGCTAGCAGATCATCCACAATGACGACTTTCTGGCCAGGCTGGATAGCCGTACGCTGCAGCTCAAAGGTGTCCTATGAAGGGAATTGTTCTCGTATACTCAGGAAATATATATAATCATATGAGGCTACTCACGCTACCGTATTCTAGTTGATACTCAACGGAGACGACCTCGCCGGCCAGCTTTCCCTTTTTGCGTATGGGCGCACACCCCACGCCCAGTTCGGTGGCCAGCAGCAGGTTGAAGAGGAAGCCCCGTGAGTCCAGTCCCACGATGACTTCCACCTCAGGCTGGCTCTGCCTGATGTACTGCACCAGCAAATCCCTGAGGTAGACACAGGCCTTGGGATCAGTCAGGGCGCCGAATATGTCGCTGATGGGATAGACGGAAGAAGAGTACGACACATGTTAATGAAGCGATAAGACTTTAGCAGTCCATAAAGATAATAATCACACTGTCGCTGGCAAACCTTGATTGTCTGATAACCTCCAACCCACCGAAATAGTATCCCCTCTTTGGGAAAGTTAGGATATTCGCCAATCTTGGACTTCACATAGTCCAGTTTGTCTTCCGCACTGATTTGGCTCATATTCCTTGGTGTTTTAATTGTTAATAAGGAAAATTTTTAAGATTTATTTATTTGTATTGTTGTTGTAAAATTGTTAACCTACTTAATCCCCCTCTTTTCAAACAGGGGAACAACTTGACAATAGTACTGCCCGGAAAATAGTACTGTTCGTAAATGATTCTTGTAGATCTATCCTAACCTTCCTCTTCAATATAAAAAACGATTACTTTTACATGAACTCCGCTAAAAAGTCATACAATATTCGTGTGTGCATTTGAATATCCAACGGTCGACAATGGGTTAAACGATGAACAGCTGATGAGCTGCTAATCGATAAGCTAGAGATGGTAGAAAACTGTGCGACGAATACAAGTTGGCGGGTGATTTGAATTTTACTTGAAATCAAAATTTGAATTTAAATTTTAGTTGAACTCGAATGAGGAGTGAATAAGTTGTGTTTTCTTATAATTGATATTTATGTTGAAGAAACATTTAATTTAATGTTGTTATGTTTACATACTTTATATGAAAATGGGTATTTTACCTGCCCTTTCTCTCATTTTTCTATTGATCGTATCTTGTCACGACTTGTACAAACACTATCAGATATTCCCAGGCCAATTGTTTGCCTGCCATTTCCTTGTACAAAGAAAGTATTCAAAGGAATTCGTCAACATCCTGCAGGTAGCAAACAGTCCCGTCCCTCACCAGGTATTTCTCTTGCATCTCTCTCTATATCTCTCTCTTTTCTCTATCTCACCGATAGCAGGAGAAATTTCAATAATTCTTCGAGGGAAAAATAATCATTCGCTGCATTTTATCATCAACAAAATAATTGAAAAGAAATGCCAACAATTTTCGCTGCACTTATCCAGAGGCAGCCACGATCTTGCACTCTCTTTAGCACTCTCTCTCTTACTCAAAAACTCACAGATATACTCAGGTATGCCTCAGTTATACCTGTGTGTAGCTTTGTACCCCAATGCCAAGCCCGACCAGCAACGAAAACCGTCTCACACGTATTTCAAGCGCTGAACGCGACGGTTCTTTAAGCGGGTTCCACCAGAAGAAGCGGATCTATCTCTCCCTAAAAATAAATTCAGCTCACTCGCGAGTTTTATTTTTTTTTTACTCAATTAATGCAAATAGAAACGCCAAACAATAGCAACAAATTATAATACTCACAACCATATAGTATATAAGCCGTGATACAAATCAACCGCTGTCCAGGCGAAACCTGTTCTCGAGCACTGTAAGCAAATGTTGTGCGAATCTCGAATTAAGTTCAAACTTAACGGCAAAAGTAAATGTCAGCCAAAGGTGCCGACAAACTGCACTGCGCCCCTTTTTGCCATTTTAACATTCTGCAACAAAAGCATACATACATATACATATCAGAGCAACATAAAAAATGTACAATAGCCATGGCAACCATACAGCCATGCCGCAGAAAGCAACAATAACTGCTGCAACAAAGTTCATCCAACATAAAAACGTGAAAACCTTAAAAAAAAATACAACATTAGGCACAGCAACAATATTGCAGAGGTGCAACTGCAACTGCAACTGCAACATTCACATTCGCACACAAACTATCACACACATACACACATATAAATGTATACATGTATGCATATGCCTTGTGGAAGCCATGCGTATTGAAAGTGCAACAGCAGCAGCAGCGACTGCGGCAGAAACCGCGCGCGCGCGCTCAAGTAACGTGAAAAACCAGAAAGAGGCACAGTTTTTGTTGTGTTTTTTTTTGTTTGTTATTTGAGGCAACGTACATCTCCGTTGAGGCTTCTGCATCGGCGCAGTGGCGGCGGCCTTCGCTCTGAAGGGCACCGAAATAGGGCGCTGCAAATAATACCCGTAGAAAGAAAGAGAGAAAGAGGGGCTTGAAGAATAGCTAAAACTTTGCCAATAAATGTTTTAGAAAACTCTCAAAATACATATTTTGAAATAGAATAGAAGAAGGGATACAATTCTTAAAAATGATCTAAATGAGGATTAGCAGAATACTTGGGAGTTCAAGTTTTTGTAAGATTCCCCAAGAGCACCAGAACCCTAATGCACCTTGGCCCCAAGTGCGCCCCTGTCTCCGGTGGGCAAAAAGCCGAGTGAAGAATCTCTCGGTGTGAGTTACTATTATGTATGGACCTGGACCCCCATTGTAGTTTTTTAGTTTTTTTTCTCCTGGATAGCCTACGCTCTGTGTTGGCTTTTGGTATGCGCGAATGTTTGCCAACATCAAAATCGTGATCTAATAAAACAGCACAAAAAATAGAGACACATACCTCAGCACACAGACAGACCTGGGACAGACGGACGGGAATGAATGAGTGAGCGGACCTGATTGGACGCGACTCTGGCACTCGAGAGTGGAGAAAACAAACCTGAAGATTCTCCAAGCCCACATTTGGATGGATGGCTAATGGGTTGGCAGCTGTAAATGCTGTCAATGTATTGAATAACTGACTGCAAAATAACATTTGCCGGTTCTCCGGTTCTTCAACTCTCCCTCCGTTCACTCCTTCGCACTCCGATACGATCCGATGCGATCCGTTCTCCCTATTGAAAAAGAAATCGTCTTTCCATTCAAGATATTATATGTATATGTAGTATGCAAAAGGGGAACCAAAAGAAATGGGCAAAAGCGAAAAAATTCCAAATAAAAACAAAAATGTTACCGCAACAACATTCTGGCCGAACACAATAGCCATGTTTATAAGCCATTTCCGCATAATTCTGAAATGTTTGGAACCAGTTTCTGGTTGGGTGTTTTCTGTTTTGGTGCCTCAAATTTAGCAACGGACAATATTTGTTTTTTCTTTTTTTCTTTTTTCCTTTTTTCCCCGAGCAACTTCTGCGAGTATGAGCGTGTTAATCAAGCCATTGGCAGTCTTCCACTTGTTTTAGGTTCCACTTTGATGGCCAAAACCAGCCCCATAAACACATACGATGCGGCTATAACAAGCCAGTTACAAGACTCGGCCAAAAAAAGCAAACAAAAATGTAGACTCCCCCCGAAGCGGTATGCGGAACAATGAATACTTTTTCCTCCGCTTAGACATAATTAGCTGAGCAAAGGAGGGAAAAGCTGTGAAAATGTGAAAATTAATTGTCAGTGCGTGGCCAATTGGGGTGAGGGGTGCCGTGCCGCCACAGACATGGGTCCACTCACCTCACCTCACCCTCACCCTCACCCGTGTGCCTGTGCCTAATGTGAGATTAATGTTTGACAAAGTAGAAAGTCATCTCGGTCTCAGTCTCAGACTCGGGTGGAGATTGAATGACCAATGTTGGCTGTTGCAAAAAGAAAGCCCGTCGTTCAAGGCAATTTTCGCCAATGCAATTGCACTCGCAGTGGCATATTTCACTTAGCTTTTAGCCACGTTTAAGGTAACAACCGCCAGCGGCATTACCCAACTGACCTTATTCCAATTTTTGGCTTCTGAAATTTCATTAAATGCTGTGCCAGCGCTCAAATTCGAGTACTGGCCCCTCTGTTATTTCTGTTAATTTAACTTTGATTTTTCTGTACGTATATTTCTTTCCTGTATTTCTTGGCTGTAAGTGAAACTCGAAGCCGAAGCCGCAGCTGAAGCTGAAGCTGAAGTCGCCGCCGGCCGGTGAGCGGATGTAACCCAAGTCTTGCCCATATATGTGCTTCGTCATAGCAGAGTTTCGTTGCTGCTTTGGTACTTCCACTCGAAGGCTTTTTGCTGGTCACTTTCTTTTTGGTCACGATCGATCCCATGGAAAAAGTTATGTACACCCAAAACCCATCTGAAGTCGCATCGAATGAATGCACTTACAAATTACACCACAGAAAATTCGAACAGAAATAAAGGAAATTATTATTCGTCTGCGGTTTGTCTGCATTTGTGACAGAGACTCCGACTCCGTCTGCGTCCGTGTCTGCGTCCGTGTCTGGGTGTGCGTCTGCGTCTGGCTCTGGCTCCAAACACCCCACTGGTCCACTATAGTTTTCCAGAGGCTCGACCCGTCTCGCCTCGCTTTTCATGTGACTCACGGACACGATTTTCCAACAAAACCATCATTGACTTTATTTATCACGTGCCACTCGGGGAGTTTCTTTATGTTACTGGGTTGTGTTTGTTCTGGATCGACTCTCTCTTTTCTTATTAGTATTATAATGCTAATCGATTAAGCTTTGCCTTGGACTCGGACTCGGAATCGGACTCGTAGTCAAACTCAAACCATAATTGAGTCTCATTCTCTTTGTTTGCTTGGGTTTTAATTCACTTTAATGAACTAATCTTGACCAACACCAAGAGAGCGCTTGTTTCTCACAGTCTTTTGTGTTATAATTTCCACAGTTCCCTCATGAAAAGAAGTGTAATAAATTAAGCATACGCAATGGGAGTTTGGGGCTGGGAACGCTGAGAGACAAAGCTAATGAAAATGCATTTTAGTCGGCCACATTTTCTCTCAGACAAATCTGATTTGACTGAAAGCGAAACACGTTTATTATTGATAGGCAGCTTGGCTCGATTGTGGCTGTTGGCCAGCTAGAGCCATGAATCATGGCTAAAATTAGACCCTCAAGACGGATTGCCGCAGACTCGTTCAGCAATATTTTGCATAATGTCTTTCGCTGATCTCTGACGCTCTCTCTCTCCCTGTGACATAGAATAAGTGGCAGATGTGAGGCAACCGTGGAAAGCTAATGGCTTTTAATAATTATCTGCTTGATTTACATAAGCCACTTGGCCGTTGAGAGAGTAAAACCAAAAACGTAGCCCCAAGCTGTATCTCTATCTTTTTTTTACGATTTTTGTTGTCCGCAGCTGAATTGGCAAATGCGAATGTGTGTTTTTTTTTTTGGAGCTGTCTTTTGATTGAAGTGAAGGGGAAAATTTCATAAAAAGCATGTTTAATGATTTGAAAATGCTTTTGAGTGGCTATGACAGATGTGGTATTGCAGTAGTTGCATAGAGAAAGGGTATGGGTGATGGATCATCATCAAAGCATCCTCTTCTTGCATCATAGACGGAGATGCATGGCTCCCAATTACAAGCCCTAGATACCAGACGTAAGCCCATTACTGGGAGCGAGGTCATCAAACCGAAAGCTGGGCAATTTAATAAGCTTAAAAACCGATTTATGACCGACAAAAACGCAATTGTTGTGGCTGCTCTGGTTGCTTTGGTTTCCTCTTCCAACATCGTTATTAACCTGAAGTCAGACTCCCAACATTTAACCATACTTAACTCCATTCACAGACACAGTAATCAAACAAACAAAGAGGCTCCTCAGTCGACTTTGCAAAATGGGCACAAAGATCGAGTACGTGGACACCACACATCTGTACGCCTCCAAGTACATACGCAACTCGAAGGCGATTGGAGTGCTCTGGGCCATCTTTACCATCTGCTATGCCATCATTGGCATTGTGGCATTTGTGACGCCAGGTGAGGGGGGCCTTCTGCAAACAATAAATCTGCCAGGCTCTGGCCAATAATTCAGCAACTCTCTCCATCTCTCCCGTTTGTCTTTCTGTTGCAGAATGGATTGGGGATCCGGACAATGACGGGGCTGGCCGGCTGGGTCTGTGGCAGCAGTGTCAGCGCGATGAGATCTTTGACAATTGTCGCCGCCGCTGGGAGAACGTATTGGCGGTGCCAACCTTCTCGTTTCAGGTGAGTGGACTGGCCGTCGCAGCTGGAAAACAAATAATATACGACTCTTTCTATTTTTTCTTCATAGTTGGCCACATTCTTCATGATGGGCGCCATTGGGCTTGCCTTGCTAACCATCTTTTTCTTAGTCTGTTTGCTGTTTATGAAGTCGACGCGTGTTTTTCATATTTGCGGATGGATGCAGATAATATCAGGTGCGGCTTACGCTTACCTTCCCCAACCTATCTCCCAACCCCAAATCGCAAAGGGCACGTTCTGTTGTCAGACACATTTCTGTATTGTACATTCTGATGTCTCTATCATGTCTTTGCTTTTGTTGGTTCTAGCTCTGTGCATGATTGTGGCCTGTGCTGCTTTTCCCTTTGGCTGGAATTCAGATGATTTCCGCAAGATCTGCGGCCCGGAAGCGAATCGATTCGAGCTGGGCCTCTGCGGAATTCGTTGGGCTTATCCCCTTGCCATAATCGGCTGCGTGGACGGTGTCGTGTTGGCCACTCTGGCATTCATCTTGGCCACGCGGCACGTGCGTCTTCAGCCGGATCCCCTCTATCAGACTTCGCTATACAAAGGTAGGTCGGGAATTACATTGCTTTTGATAGAAGTGTCAGCACCTAATCTATTATATACCTTTTTGTTTCTTCTAGGTGAAATCAACAATGCCTATCTCACGGATGCCATTAGTTTGGCAGGGTCCCGGAAGTCCAATCCTCATATTACGGGTCTGAATCTGCAGCCCATTTTGTTGGTGGCGCCGCCAAATGAGGACAGCATATCGCAGTTTTCCCGCTATCACTGAGGATCCGATTATTTTTTCGAATCCCAACGAATCAGTCAAGACAGCTACCATGCTTAGCACGTACAACCACCTGGAAATGTTTCGCTTTGGTTAAAAGCTTAGCTTAGCGGTTATGTAGCGGTTGAAAGCTTGCAACCGTTTCGTTTTGAATTTGAATTGTGGGTTTGTTTCTCTGCCTTGTGCTTGCCCCTCTGACTCTCTTCCTCGTGTGTGAGTATCTGAATGAATAGAGTGTGTAATTTTTTTTGAGTGCCTCTGCCCGACTGAATGCCAATCTTTAGTTGTAAGCTCCGATTAATTTAACACCTTTGTATAGCTTGTGCCTAAATGTAAACTTTGACTAAGAAAATGCAGAAAAGCAAATTCTCTGCCTGTAAATTATATACCCATAAACAATAAAAGATGTACAAATATTAAACATAAAGCAGTACAGACCGATTTTCATTTCGACCACAATGGCAGCCTCAATTATGCCATCATCATCATCAGCATCAAGGTCAGCCGCTTTTGGGCAAACAAAAATCAAATTATGCCCTGGCTCCAAGGACCCTGTCCTTATTTCTGTCCATAAAAACCAATAACAGCCAACTTAGCGCCCAATTTGTTTGTCCCTGGTCCGAGATCTCCCTTCTGCCAATAACCATTTGGCACATACTTTTCCAATAAAGTATTTACAGCAAAGTTTTCCTTCTTTTCCCGCTTCTTCCGTCTTCTTCTCTCTCGCTCTCTCTGTGTCTTTTCCGTGACTGTTGAGCGGGGAGGCAATTGAAATATTTCAAGGCGACCAAATAGAGCAAACAGATTCGTGGCAAGTGCAAGTGGATCTCCGGGCACGTTCTAATATTCTTGTATAATTCATAAGCAATTCCATCAACGGCCTAAGTGGCCAACCAGCTGGCGCCTGAAGCGAATCAGGGAGGCATTCGACAGCCAACGAAAGAAACCAACCCCCAGGCTGTGCTGTGATTTCCCGTGACTTCTGTGGATACTCTATGATGGTTGGGTGTGATTCATTTGTCATGCTGATTGTTACGAGCAAATTTCAACATTTTAGGGACAACCACATTACCATGATGATATCGGTGCATATATAATAGCTATACCATCTATATCTCAGCTATGTGCTAACAGCTGAATGTTGATGATTCATTGGTGCGCCTGGCAGATAGCTGCAGCCTAAAAGTATGCCAAGATTTTGATACGGCGAATGCGAAATCGAAATCCATTAAGAATACATTTTTCCACAATCGTAAGAAGGTATACCACCTCTTTATGGTCCATATCGGCTTAGATACAAGGGAGTTGAAGCTCTTCTATATCTGAGAGTATCACAAGCTTCAACTTGGTCAGGCTATATTCTTCGATTGTTTTTATTTACTTCAGCCATTTCTTTTGGCTGCCTTTTGCCGCCTGCAACATATGGCCAGAATTTTTTCAATTGTGCTCAGGCATGGCATTTTCCATGGAAATCCTCCATTCCGACACCCTACTCGAAGTGGCAATGAAGATCTCTGGCATTCGGTGCGGATTTTGATGTGCCAATTGTTTTTATTCGATTTTATCGCTCGCCATAAACGAATTTTTAACTTTTGTTGTCCTTGAGGTTTGGCGGCCATTTCATGCGATGATATTGCTCTTGGATGATGGGGATGGTGTGGCTGTGAGGAGGATGGCATGCAGGATGGCAGTGGTGGTGTGGCAGTGTGGTGCGGTGTGTGTGTGTGGCATACATTTATGACGCATTTGGTAGCACATGCTGCTGGCGAATATTAGTTTATCACCCGGCTTTTTATGCATTTCCAAGTGCCTGGCGGAAATTAGAGACGTGAAACAAGTTTTTTCATGGTTCATTTTCGTGGATAAACTGTTTCAATTATATATGATAATAGAAGCAGGCTCTTTGCCGCAGCACTGCGTTACAGTTCTGCCAAGGCAGCCCAACCCCAACCCCCTTCGCAGGCAGCCACCCATACCCCCGGCCACAAACAAACACACAAAAACTGAAGAGAAAACTGAACGAGATGGAGGGGAAATGAATTGCGCCTTAAAGGTTTTCGTTTAAGTGAAATGTCAGCAACAGAAATTGAATCGAAAATTGTAAAATTGGTTTTGTATAAACATTTTTGCCAAATGAAATGAAAACGCTTTTCTTATAGCTGCCACATGCCGCAATTGTGCCGCTTGCCGATTGCCGTTTGCCTCCTGCCTGCCATGAAATTGTATTCTCTTGATATGCTCTCCTTTTTCCTTTTCCGTTTTACTTGACTTTTGAGGCAACATTGCAGAACATCATATTTCTTCTGACTGTTTTTTATTCCACTTTGGGGCCGAAACAAAAGTACTGCAGCCTGGCCAGAACTGGCCAGAACTAGCCATCCCATCCAGCCATCCAGCCATCGAGCCACCCACACGGCGTCCCCTTCTCTGAGAACTTGTGTTTAATTTATTGCTCATACGACCCGTGTGGCTGTGTGGGAGAGTAGGAAACTGCTGCGTTGTGTGTGGAATTGTGGAAACGTCAAAAGTGCGTCAATCAACAGAAGCTCGAGGGCACTTTCCTCCGTCCATTTGCCAGTGCACTTTTTACAGAGTTCTTTCCTTTATTTAGTTTGATTTATAAGATTTGGAGAATTGTTTTTGCAATTGCCAAAGTCTGGAGCAGGAGAATCTGTTGTTAACAAGGAGATTTATGTTTAGGCAGCAGATTTATTGGGTCTGAAAAGGAGTAGATTCTTCGAGAAGGTTTCAAGAGTTTGAGAAGAGCCAAAGCCATAAAGAGACTTGTTCTTACTAAAAATTCAACCAGAATCTGTCCAAATCCTATTCCAAGGAATAGTTTCTTTCTTCTTTCTTTCAGTTTACAAATTCATATTATCAATTATAATTTCATACATCCTCAGCCTAAAAATTATTTAACATATACATACATACATAAAATAATTAATATCTATGACTAAAAGGTAGTTACGTCTAACGAAACTAGATATGAGCGCTCGCATTTTTCACATTGTAAACTTTGACTAGTGAATTATTTGTAGCATTTATAAAAAAAAAAGAAAAAAAAATATGTACTCTGACATCTATCTACAGGATGAACGAATGAGTAGAAATGAAAACTGAGCTGAGTCATGGTTATGCATATCCAGTGGCAAGAACTTGAAGTATATGCCACAATTTTGGCCAGAACGAAACTAGAACTAGGTAAAACTATTCCCAGACACACATACAGGTACACAGCTACACAGGTACACAGGCACACCCACTCAATAAAAAAAATAAACACACACACTCTTAAATCACTATCAAAATCTCTTGCTCTAACTATGACTCCTGACTGACTGTCCCGCTGCTCTCGAGGCTGCCGTCGATGATGGGCTGGGCGTCCTCTCCATCGTTATCCCCCATGCAGGCCGCCATGGGTCCGTGTCGCAGAAGTGAGTAGCTATCGCGATGGTGCACCAGCAGCCTGTGCTGCTGGTGGGCAATGAAGCTACTGCCACGCCGCAGTGATCGGCGTCCCATCTCGAGGATTTCCAGCGTAGGATCGCGGGCAAAGACAAAGTTCTGGTAGGCCCGCACAAAGCTGAAGATCACAGCAGAGGCACCGCCCACTATCATCAGATAAGAGCCAATGGGTACGGCATTGGGGGCTATGACGGTGGCAAGATATATCCAACGCTTGATGGCCGGCGTAAGCTCAGAGATGCCCTAGGCGATTGGGAAAAAGATACAATAAAGAATGATGACATTACGGGAGCGAGTGTTGATCTCTTACCTCTTCCAGCCACATGACCGGAAACACAAAGTCACGGAAGTCACGCACTGGATAGACGTCCTTGGCACGCGTCACCTTCAGATTCAACTGGATCCGCACCTTGCCCTCCAGGGGTACTCCAAGTTTCTGGGGAAACATTAGAAGAACATCATTACAGGAAGGTGTGGAATGGAATTTCACTGACTATCCACTTACCGGTTGTATTTTGAAGTACGTTTCATGCTTCTCGCGCTTTGGTTCCAGACCCTCTACAGAGTCAAGAAGGTCCGGATGGGCGTCGTAAAAGTGCGGATTGGATATGTAGACAGGTGCACCGTACTGGCACGGACTGATGTTCTGCAGACCCCGCACCGGTTCATACTCGTTCGAATCGAAGCATTTGTTCTCTGGATTGTGGGCGGAGTCACCGTACGAATTGTTTGGCAGTCTAAACAGATCCGCGGCAATGCCATCCTTCTCCAAAGTCTGATCATATTTGAGTGGAATAATGCGGCACAGATCCTTGTCGTAGATGTAGACCATCTCCGACTTGGTGATGTCCCGCGGCGGGAAGAAGGATCCCTCAGATCCGGCCACACTGGTGCAGGGCTCCTCGTTCCAGTGCGGCAGGCGATTCATGCCATTAAGGGAATCGATGTAGCCAAACTGATCCATTCCCTCGTAGCCCGTCTTGATGGTGGATACCTCGGTGAGGGTGCCATTGCGGCCCAACAGGAGCCCCATCCGCTCCATGGGCCGCATGTGTTTCGGGTAGAATCGATGGGCGAGACTCACCAGGGCGTCGTCATAGCCAAAGACCAACTGATCTGCTGTCACGTTGATGAAGGGCTTGAAATTGGCTGCCGTGATCACGACGGAAATGGTTTTCGACAGAAGATAGCCCAGTTTCGGACTGAGGCTGGTCAGGGTCTGTCCGTTACAGAGAAGGGGGGTATTAACAATGATTACAGGAAGCAGGTAGGTAGAGCTACTTTCACTTACCAGCAATGGGATGTTGGGCGTGACTATGGGCGTGTTCTTATCAATACTCAGTTCAGGAACAAATTGCAGTATCTTCTTATGCTGATATGACACGGTATAGTTATTCTCATGAAACTTTACATTCACCTTCTCCATGTCTTCCCTGTAATAGATAAAAGCAAAACATTATCACCGATCGTCACGTGCTGCGGTCCCCGCTTCGTGGTCCAAAGTCAGGGCCAACAAAAAACCAAGCAGTTGAATGTCAAGTTCAGTTTCGTTCATGCCAGAGAAAAAGACGTTGAAACGAGGCGAAACGAACATAAAAAAGGTACAGGTAAAAAAAAGTAACAACGGATGACAGGCAGTTTGAAGCATCTTTTTTGTTAGCTACCGTTTGTCATTGTGGTCCATCAACGGCGCCAGTCCCAGTGCCAGTGCCAGTCCCAGTCCAAGTCCCATCCCCAGTTGTCAAACAGATTAATCTTTAAACTGTGGACAATGCGATGATTGATCACTCGGACTGACTGCCAGGTTATCCTTCATTTAAACGGGTTCGCAACTTATGATTATATATTGCATTACATTTCCATTACGCGATCTAGATGGTGTAATCCCCGTTCAACGGAAACAGCATGCATATCTCAAGTGTAGCCCCAGGCTAGAGAGCCTCGGCTTGATGTGGGCTC